GGCCATTTTTGTCAGGCCGCGCACGGCGTTTTTGGGCTTTGCAGGCATCAGCGATAAATTAAATATCTTTTTACAGAGTAGAGCTAGAACAATGAGACTTGTACCATTATTTTCAGTGAAGTCCCCTCTATATATAAGGTCCTTTAAACATTTTCTCTAAAACAATCACTAATGCCTTAAAATATTCATCTTATTTTGAAAATACTTTTCAACAAAGTGCTCTTTTTAAAGCCTAATTTTACAAAGAAGGAATAAAGTACCATAGCTAATGATTTTTATCCTGTAAGATATGGTAAAATACTTGCATATGTCAGAATATTAAGTCTGAATTCAGTCTCCTTAACTTTTTATAAGCTACTAAAAATTAAAATTTTCCAATTTTTCAAAAGTTTGACGTGCAATATTTCTGGTGGGGCAAACTGTAAAAATCCAATTTTTACATTTGTGATGTGCCTATATAGTAGGAACATACAGCAAAAATTTCAATGTTGGTATTTGATCCTAAGCCGAGATATACAATTTTGAATTTAAAGGAAATTTCAACTTTTGCGCCAGCTTAATCACCAGATTTAAGTGGTATAGAAAATCTATACACAATATAGTAACAATGCAATAGTAAACTTGTTACATAATTAAAAGCTAGAATATGTACAGAAAAAAATATTAAGAACCAAAGTGGTTATAAATGGAATTAAAATATAAAAACAAAAGCGTTCGGTTCTATCTTAAAGATTTACAGTCAACGGTTCTATGTAACTTAAATGGACGGTATTTTGCGTTTAAGAAGACTCATCCAGAGTGTCAGTGTTATACTTATATTACATTATTAAAACTTTGGCAGATCAAAATTTTGTAAGCTGCGGCCTAAGTGGTGCATTTTGGCTAGACCCTCAGGTACACATTCTGTGCATGTGCTTGTGTACCACCAATATGTAAATTTTATGATTGATGGTGCCACTACAAAGAGTAACTGGAGACTGGAGTTAATAGTATGTGACACTAATTAGTATGACTGACTGTATGGTTATGGGCTTTTTATTACTGTGATCATTTCTCCTCGGTCTGTTGTAACTCACTGCTTAAACTCAATACTATCTGGTTGATCCTTCTAAGAATCCACCAACATTTCAAGTAGAGTTCCTGTTCCTGGACACTGTTTCCACCATACAGCCATATGTTGTGAGCTGCTGCCTAAGTGGTGCATTTTGGCTGGACCCTCAGGTACACATTCTGTGTGTATGTGTGTACCACCAATATGTAAAATAAATTATGATGGTGCCAAACTTAATGTTAACTACAAACAGTAACTGGAGTTAATAGCATTTGACACTTCTGGGTAGGTGTGGCTGTGAACTCTACTTGAAATGTTGGTGGATTCTTAGAAGGATCAACCAGATAGTATTGAGTTTAAGCAGTGAGTTACAACAGACCGAGGAGAAATGATCACAGTAATAAAAAGCCCATAACCATACAGTCAGTCATACTAATTAGTGTCACATACTATTAACTCCAGTCTCCAGTTACTCTTTGTAGTGGCACCATCAATCATAAAATTTACATATTGGTGGTACACAAGCACATGCACAGAATGTGTACCTGAGGGTCTAGCCAAAATGCACCACTTAGGCCGCAGCTTACAAAATTTTGATCTGCCAAAGTTTTAATAATGTAATATAAGTATAACACTGACACTCTGGATGAGTCTTCTTAAACGCAAAATACCGTCCATTTAAGTTACATAGAACCGTTGACTGTAAATCTTTAAGATAGAACCGAACGCTTTTGTTTTTATATTTTAATTCCATTTATAACCACTTTGGTTCTTAATAATTTTTTCTGTACATATTCTAGCTTTTAATTATGTAACAAGTTTACTATTGCATTGTTACTATATTGTGTATAGATTTTCTATACCACTTAAATCTGGTGATTAAGCTGGCGCAAAAGTTGAAATTTCCTTTAAATTCAAAATTGTATATCTCGGCTTAGGATCAAATACCAACATTGAAATTTTTGCTGTATGTTCCTACTATATAGGCACATCACAAATGTAAAAATTGGATTTTTACAGTTTGCCCCACCAGAAATATTGCACGTCAAACTTTTGAAAAATTGGAAAATTTTAATTTTTAGTAGCTTATAAAAAGTTAAGGAGACTGAATTCAGACTTAATATTCTGACATATGCAAGTATTTTACCATATCTTACAGGATAAAAATCATTAGCTATGGTACTTTATTCCTTCTTTGTAAAATTAGGCTTTAAAAAGAGCACTTTGTTGAAAAGTATTTTCAAAATAAGATGAATATTTTAAGGCATTAGTGATTGTTTTAGAGAAAATGTTTAAAGGACCTTATATATAGAGGGGACTTCACTGAAAATAATGGTACAAGTCTCATTGTTCTAGCTCTACTCTGTAAAAAGATATTTAATTTATCGCTGATGCCTGCAAAGCCCAAAAACGCCGTGCGCGGCCTGACAAAAATGGCCGCAACTTCTAAACGGAACTAGATAAAAATATTTTAAAAACTGTTTTGAAGTCATAATTATAAGGGTAATAACATATAAAAAAAATATGAAAATACAAAATGGTCAAGCAACCTTCATTGGATCACTTCAGATGGATTGACCCTGGAATCAGTTAAGCTCCAGATACTGTGTTGCTCAATCAAAAATCATAAATTTGATTATTTCTCGGATATTATATTTATTTTAACGCTGCGGAGCAGCATGGGTCCTCTAGTTCTTATGATTTCTTGGTCTTATTTGCCACATGTTTGCTTCCTATACGGCTGTGAAAGTCGCACGGGTTGTTTTAGTTTTCAACATTATTAGTGCGGTCAACATGTTTAAACAGAAAAGTTGCATTTATTTCAATTTTAAGTAATGGTGTGAATTCCCGTCATCAGCACTCAATGTGTTTTAAAAAGGTTAGCAGACCAGAAATTAATATTATTTCTAGGTTTATCAACAAATACAATTTTCTTAATCAATTTGACAACCTGTAAATGTTTTGTACTGTATAGGTTTAGTTCCAACTATACATTGTAGGAACACAAATCTAATTTTGTGCGCTTTACTGTATGACTGACCCTAGTGGAAGTGATCAATATATATCAATACAAAAATTGTATATTGATACGTATTGATACGTATGTGTATTTGGGCCAATACACATCAATACACATCAATACATATCAATACAAGTAAATATAGGATCCGAGTCATTAGCTTAATTGAAAATAATTTGTAGCTTGTTAAAAAACAATTTTTAATTTGTTTCAACACATTGAATCACATCTACTATGCACTAAAAATAAAATAAAAATGAAAAAGTAAAAAATTTCTTGTCAAAAAGCTCTCGATGTTCCCGAGTTTTGAACCTGGGACTCCAGCATGGTAGCCGGATGTCTAAGCCAAATCGCCACGGACGCTTCATGTCTGACTAAGTAATGATAACCACTTTGAATGCGAGAAGCTGCGAGAACATTTTGATTTAAACTTCATATTACAACAATGTTGGTATAAGATTGAAACAATTTTAAAAATGTTTAACAATAAGTTTTTTGCAGTTGAAAAAAATAAGTTTCAATACGAGCTGTAACTGTTTTACAACAATTTTAAAATTGTTTTACAATCAGTTTTTTGAAGTTTAAGAAAATTAGTTTTAATACAAGTTGTAAACTGTTTTATAACAATTTTAAAATTATTTAGCAATCAGTTTTTGGCAGTTTAAAAAATAAGATTTAATACAACTTGTAACTGTTTTACAACAATTTTAAAATGATATATTTTAAAATTATATTGAGTTTTAGGTACCTCAGCTAACGTCTATGACCTAAAACTAAAGTTTTTCCTTTTTTCAAAAAATAACATTTTTATTACTGTTTATTTAACCACTTTACATTGATATTTTGTATAATCCATAATGCTCATTTGTGATACATTTGAGAGATATTTTGAATTTTATTTACCCGTATTGATGTCTATTGATTTATATTTACATCTAACATATTTAAAAAATATTCTCTATTGATATCAATGAACGATTTGTTTGCTCTAATGATCTATATTGATATATTTTATGTTTATAGATGTCTAGTGATATGTATTGACTAAGTTTTCAGTGATGTCTATTTGTTTGTATTTACTTGTAATGATATCCATGAACATCTATTGATATCACTAAGCATCTAGTGATATCAATAGATTTTTTCTATTGATTTCTATTGATGTCTTCCACTAGGGGAGTAACTTATACTTAAACTGCTGGACATTCATAAATGATTTTGACAAAAAAGGTCAAAACTAATAGTGATTTTACTTCAGTTTTTCTTCATCTATGGTTTTGGGATTATTTTGTAAGGTGGGGACTGGTTAAAACTCTGGTTGTTTTATTACTGCCTAATGGTGACCTTTTGTTAGGCTAGATAACACCAGTAAGTGATACCCCAATGACAAATTGAATCAATTCTGCTAGTGATTAAACCTACAATTTTATTATTTTGAGACGAGCACCATAATTTTGGAATATCGCCTAAGGATAGTATTTACAACACGAGTAAAAGGCAAATTTATTAGGCGAATTGTGTACATTACATTACCTACTACCATTTTTTAATTACTAAAAATCACTACTCATAATGTCTAAGAGAGGTTATGATTTAGTTTATAACCTCTCATTGCCACGATTTGTTACAGAAGTATTACAATTTCAAGTTACTTATTTTCTCTCAATTCTAGAACCTCATTGGTCCAAACGTGTAAACAATACTGTAAAATGAATTGATTCAATTCTTAGAACTAAATTGAAAAGGCTAGAATAAAAACGGTTGTAGGTAAACACATTTTGAACACATTTAATATTAAAATACAAACCCTCAAATTTTAAATTAAATATTAACACTGGACACTGCAATCTCCTGAACAGTTATATATATATAATATATATACGTGTACGTATATATATACGTATTATATATGTGTGTTTTTATTTGCAGGATGTGGAGTTGTACATGGATGGCAGTGCTGCTATGGACAGTGGTAGCGGGCCAAGACATGGTAACATCCATACCCCCGGGAGAATCAGGGGTAGCTACCCCTACACTGCAGGTAACATTTCATAACATTTCTAATCCGTAACTGACAGTTTCAAATTTATTTATGGTGCATAAATCAGTGTTAGCAAAGTTGCGTTTTCCTCTGACTTCAGTAACCACGCTGCGTACTACGCGGTTAAGCTCAAGAACGCAGTCACAGAAAACGTACTACTATAACCCAGAATGCCAACTGCATGGTAAAAAGCATTAAGTGTTTTGAGAGAGCTTTGCCTGTCAATCCGTAGGCAGCGCCACCAGCGTTGCTATGCTATTGCATGGTACTCATCAAATACACGGTTATTTATAGTAAATGTTTTAGGAAAAATAAAATCAAATAAATTGGTTTTTTCTTAGTCTGCAGGTTTGCTGGCAGGGGTATTTTTTGTAAAATGATATCTCTCTGAGAGTCTGTTATTGAGAACACTAGACCAAACATCAAATTGGTAACTGTTGAACCTAAGATAAACCAGAAGCAAGAAATTGTGAAGTAGTTCATCTGAAAGGTCAAAAAGAATCTCTTGTAATTTTTTACATTTGTTAATCTAAGTTCAATTTTAAAATCTTATGTATAAGGTAGATGATTTTCTTGGAATTATATTTAATGAGTAGATATTACCTTTCAGTGTTTAAGTTTGGAATGTGTTAAAAGTTTCTCATTTATTTAGGGTCTAATTTTTAGTCTGTATTTTTTCTGTATCGACTTCCTTCTCTATTGTGTTTATGTTTCATGACAATAAAACAAACCATTCTCATTCTCATCCAGTATCTGATTTTGATAAACATAAGTTCTTTTAGCTGGTTACGTATATTTATTGTTGTCATTCCTGTGGTCTTAGAAACATATTTGACCGCCCTAGTAACTATTTGAACTAATGAAAGGCTGGCTACATATTTCATTATAATTTTTTTTTGGCAGAAGGGCCAAGTGAAACCCATCATCAGGTCCCTCCATATAACGACTGATATCAAGAACCGCTACGCCACAACCCTTGTGTCTACTCGGGTTATCAACCCTCTCAACCAGTCGGGGGAAGCTACCTTCACAGTAACATTACCTGAGTCTGCCTTCATCTCCGAGTTCTTGATGTAAGTTTATTATATTTTACTTTATATGTTAAAGATTTTAAACACTAAACGTTCACTGTACAGGGTGTCCCTTAAATTAACAGCCAAACTCAGGGAAATGCTTCTATGTGTCTAAATGAACAGAAAATAAAGAATAACTAGGGAACCCGTGCGGCTCAATGAGCCGCCTAGTATGAAACATAACGCCGAGGAAAACCTTATGCTTAAATTCTAGTAACTTTAGTTACATCTTAGAGTTATTTGAAAACTTGTTAGAAACTAATTTTAAATATCTCTAATGGCGTCACCAAGGTTCACCTACATCATTTCTGCTCTCGATTTTAACTGATAACTTCTAATGAATGCTAAACGATCTGCCTCAATTCGAGTTAATATGTTACAACAAAGTTTTTCCAGCATTGAGAATTATCGAAGAACACTGTTGCCGTACTGATAACCTTTCTTAAGTAATTAAAGTTGGGCCATTTTATTCATTTGATTCGAGACATCCCCCGATCAAACGAATTTTCTCCGTAGAGTAACCTGAAAAGTGGGGTGATGTCAACTATTTCATGTGCTCCTTTTTTACCCACAAACTCGGGGTTACCAACTGGACAGCCATAACCTGCTTTGAATAGGCTAAAGCAGCAACACCATTGAAAGTTGGTTAACGTAATTTTAACAAAATGTTTTGAAATATCTCGATCTGTCAGTGTCTGAAGTAAACATTTCTTGCATGCATTCATTTGATCTGACATGTAGGCAAGTTTACTTTCCCACCGTGACAACACTATGAGCTTCGTATATTTTTTCACTTCCAAAGTAAGTTGCATAGCAGAACTGGCAAATATTATTCATCTCACAAAGTGAATGTGTATCTGGATGGGTATCTGTTAGACCAGGTCTCTCTTTTTCTACTCTCCTCATACGCACAAAATATCTTATTATTAATTGTGTCCTACTACCGTGTTCAATATTTCTTCTTTGAACTTGAGGCATTTTCTGTTCTTCCAACAAAACTGATTTGAACTGTTTAACTTGGTCTTAACCTACTAAATATTACAAACATCAATATTTACTCCCAAAAAGCTACAGCTTCTTATAAACAGCTGTTTTTTTGTTTTAAATTTGTTCTATGTATTTCTTATGGGGAAAACCCGACCTTTGAGTGGGCCTCACGCTCTTAAGGGCAGGAATTTTAGAATTCTAAAACCTTATTGCAAAACTACATATTGAGACAAATCTTTTGACAACTCAAACGATGAAATTGGTCCACAAATAAGGGAGGAGTTGCGTTAACAAAAAACGGCTTCACGTATTATATATATAGATTATTTTTCCAAAATCGTTTCATTATTCAACAAAAAATCGTGATAATTCAGTTATTTTTTTATTCGACCTTTTTGAACTTGGTTTTGTTTGATAGGGAATTTTAAATGTTAAATAAAAGTGTTCTAGAAATGTTTTCATTGTTTTCATAAAATTAGCCGTTTTAGTAATTTCAATTAAAAAAATTAAAATGACTGCCATTTTGAAATTTTCAATTGGATTAAAATAATGTTTTTTTTCTAACAAGGGTTTGTTTGACCTAAACATACATATTAACATACATATTCTCTATATTAATGATTTGCCAAACTCCATACCTTGCAAAACAATTTTATATGCTGACGACACAACCTTCATCTCATCAGCTGACAACTTTTACTCTGCAAACCAAAGTATAGAAAACGCCATTGAATTGGGTAAACTATGGTTTGAAAGTAATTTTCTGGAAATAAATCATGATAAAACAGAAAAAATTTGTTTTACTTTGCGTAATCTTGAAGCAGACAATGCAGTTTCTGTCAAACTACTCGGAATATCCATAGACTCTAAACTCACTTGGGAAATACATACCAATAATATCATTTCAAAATTGTCAAGAGTATGTTGTTTGATAAGAAAACTTAAAAATTGTGTTTCTAAACCAACACTTCTAATTGTTTACCACAGTTTATTTCACTCACACTTGCTGTATGGCAATATACTGTGGGGTAATAGCTCAGGGGCTCACCGGGTTTTTACATGGCAAAAGAAAGCTCTCAGAATTATGTTTGAAATTCCGGATAGGGTTAGTTGCAAAGCATTTTTTGCTGAAAATAAAATCATGACACTCTCTAATATTTTCATTTTTTACAATTTAGTTTCCGTTAAAGAGAATCTGAATAAATTTGTTCCTTGCAACTCAATCCATGGGTATATCACCAGACAATCAAAAGATTTATATATTCCTCAAGCCAGGCTATCAAAATTTATCAAAAGTTATAAATATTTGCAAATAAAACTATTTAATAAACTTCCAATATATTTTAGAAATCAGGAAAGTATTCATTTGTATAGGTCAAAATTATCAGATTGGCTTACAAGTCGTGCTTTTTATTCAGTTGAGGAGTTTTTGCAGAATGTAGATTTTTCAACGCTTAAATGTGAGGCCAAGCAGTCTTGATGATTCTTTGTTCGTGTTATGGTCTTTTCCCTGTTAATTTCAAAGTTTTTATTATTACTGATGCTTCATCCTTTTAAGATTCTTTTAACTTTATTTTAACATTTTCTGTAGAATATTTAATGTTTTATATAACATATGTAACAAAACATGTTGACCTTGTCTATTGTAATGTTTATATTACCAAACGACAATAAAGATATATTATTATTATTATTATTAAATTTCCATAATGATCGGCTGGAAAAATTCAATGATGAAAATGTTTATGTGAAAAAAACAAAAATGGCGGATATGTGGTTAGCAAAGTGATTTTTGAAAAAAAAAAATCCTTATTTTATTTTTATTTTTACCTTTAGAACCATTTCCCGTAGTTTGGCTGTTTACTTACGGGACACCCTGTATATTTTTATTGTATGGTTGGTGTTTACGTCCATGGTTGAGCCTTTTTGTTGCTGAGACTTTAATTTTTATTTATTGTATATATCCACGCCTTTGGCATTTAAAATATTTGTTGTAAGGTATCAGTCCAAACCCTGGTCTTGTTTCTAACTTACGTCAACCTTTAGTTAGATCTTCATTAATATATATCCCAATGAAATAGCATCTGGTTCCTGAATGGACCAGTGCTATCACACTTGGACTTTTTTTACTTGGACCTACAACTGTTTTAAATGCTCTTGAACCAAGCCCTACAAAGTCATTTAGGTATGTACGCTAAATGACATCAAATGAAGGTTTTAGCAAGTCACAAGAGATAATGAAGGTTTGAAATTTTTTAAATCCAATTACTTATCGTACAAAGGCATTAAATTAGTTAAATAAAGTAAAAAAAAATACTTAACCATACCCATACCTACATAGTCAATAGTCATACAACCATGGATTTAAATTTACTAAGTTACATTTACTTAAATAGTACTCATCTTAAGTCTCAGCAGTGAGTGTGAGTGGCGATCCATCCACCACTAGGCACAAACATGGCGTGGGGAGTCGAGATGTCCTCCTGGGAAGTGAGGGGCAGCAACTTCCTTTCCTTGTAGATATCGCCTCAATCGCACCGTAACTAGATGGATACTTCTTGATGCATGCTCACGGGGACGAAATATAAGTAGGTTAAAGACATTGTGCTTGACGATTCATCTGACGGTCCTTGTTGAACAAAAACTTCCCTCACCGAATAATGGCGATGTCCCCCATCTGGTGGCTAGCTGACGAACGAATAACCTCCCCCGCTTCCCTCTCTACTCGATTTTAGTTCTACTCCCCCCGTTAGGAGCGCTGCCCGACGGAAACGGAAACTAACCCGAAGGCTCTTGAAGCTTCTACATCGTTCTAGATCTTTCTGGAACCGGACACGGGAGTTACCCAGAGTGCTCTGAAACCTTCTAGAATGTTCTCGAATAATCTTGAAAGTCGTTCAACCCCCCCCCCCCCCTCTTTGTATTTGAACTTGTTGGCGGTTTCTTTCGAATTTGAATTTGAATTAACATTATTCTTTTTCCCCTTTAATTAGGTAATTAATTAATTTTTTTAAATATGCATCAACCCATACAATTTATATACTGTGCTTAAACTACGCAAATGATACAACATTTTTAATCATGGAGAGAGTAAAGAAACAAGTCATTAGTTATCTCTACAGTGTTTTTTTTTTAAAGGACTCATGTAAAATATAGATTAGAGTCTAAATCTAAATTTTCTAAAATGGTGCTTGTTTATCATATTGTTTATCGTTTAATACCTATGACCCTTTTACTATTGGTCTCCTTCAGTATCCAATAGGCAATGCTATGACTGAATTACATAACCTTTCAAACTATTTAATTCAGTTGTACAAATTCTTTTGTGTAACATATTTTAATGTTCAAGGATAACTATGAGAATAGTGTCATTAAAATTTAGATTTTTGACTAAACACTGTAGAACACTGCAGTGTTTCACTCTCAGGAGATTATTTTCTTAAGTTGCGAAAAATTTTAATGAAATGTTCACAAGCAAGTTACTGAAGCTCGGTATTGTTATTCTGCTATTGTTTGTGGTGTGCACGTAAATTGTCTGTGAAAAAAAAGGAATGAGAAGGATGTAGATCTTAGTTCCACCTCAATTATTATTAGAATTATTATTAGAAAAATCTTTATTGTTTCAATATTACATAGAAATGTACAATTCAGAAATACAATTTCTAGAAGTCAAGTACTGTTATCATTAATGTAATCTATTTTTAGGGAAATCAAGGACAAGGTGTACAAAGCATATGTAAAGGAAAAGGAAGAGGCCAAGGCCATATACCAAGAGGCCGTTAACGCTGGACACTTTGCTGGCCACGTAGCTCTAGAGTGAGTTTTCCTCAATTATCTTGCCTTCATCAGATGCATCTCCATAACTGGTTATAATGATACCAGTTCATATCATGCCAATTAAATTAACACTTGCTGCTAAACCCACGCCACAGTGGTAGTACACGAAAGAGAAGAATGCTGTTATTTAAAATAAAAATCATATAAGATAAAATTATTTCCAATGTGGAACGGGTAAATTGTGAACAATAAAAGCTATTGACACCAGTGTGATGAATTTTTTTGGGCCATTGTTTTTCACTGATCACTAAATTTATAACTAAACTAAGTTCTCTTCTTATTTTAATATCCACACCTGTGTCATTTCATAAGAAAATACTTTAGATGGCAGACACACTTTTAGGATAAGCAGGCCAAACAATGTCTTTTACATTTTAAGAAAATGTACAGTTTTGAGAATATGGAAATTTATTACTTTAAAAAGTAACCCAACATTGGCTGTAGGATGATGACTGGAATATGTACTTGTTTTATCTAAACAGTTAGTAGTTGATAATGTTCCAAGTTGTTTTGAGTTCCGTATTATTGTTTGTGTAAGATGTTGACTGTGCCTATTGCCCTTTGGTGTTCAACAATAACAAACTATTCTTGTTATTCATCCTATCCTTAAATACATTATTTGACTTCTGTAATGATATGATGATTGATATTTGATTCAAATCAACAACCAAGGCAAAGCATTTTATCTAGTCATTTTAAAAACACAAATAAATAATAAAAATTATACCATACGATTATTAAACGTACATGATTATTAAATAACACTACTATTTCAAAAGTTAACATTGGATTGAATTGTCATATTTATCATAGCGTACATTGAAATTTTCATGGAGATCAGTTAAATAAGTTCAAAGATACACATTTATGTGTAAAAAAAATACACAATGGAGGATATCTAGCAAACAACTGCTTTTGGAAAAAATTCTTTTTTTTCACCTTATTTTGATCCCCAAAAAGATTTTTGGGGCTTGGAACTTTACTTATTGGGCAAACCGTAGTTTTCTACAAAATCCAGTTTTATGTGTAATTTTTGCTGTTGACAGTGCTAGGGATTCCAACCAATTCACAGTATCCGTCAACATAGAAGCTCACGGCAAGGTGACCTTCAACCTGACCTACGAACAATTGCTGGCTAGAAACCTTGGAGTGTACTCCAACGTAATCAACATAAATCCTCAACAGGTAATGGCTTGTAAACTGCTAAACTGTCCTGGAGATAAATTAGAATCAGCTGTTTAGTTTCATGGCACTTAAAAGAACTCTATTCATAGCACGCTAAGTGATGGACGTAAAAACAATGCAGTGTATAAATTATGCCTCATCGTAAAATTTAATATTCAATTTCAAACAGCCTCATTGAGTAATAATTTAAAATATACATGAAATAGTGTCAATAGATGGTCAATAAAAAAGATTATCGAGATAGTAAATGCTTTTTCATCATCCATTATTATTATGATCAGAATAGAAATCAAAGCCCATTAAAATTATTTTCAAACAAAAACTATCAAAATCAGAGCCTTTTAAGTAACCAAAATAGAAGGGATTTTCATTGTATTTTAGGCTCAACAATTACTGTAATAGTATACTTTGTGTTGTGTTGTTAGTCTTAATGTTCGTTGTGAATCAGTAATATGAAAAGCTAGAAATTTATTGCAGCATGTTATTGGTTTACGTCCTAGTGTCTGCCACTACGTTTAACTACAGTTCACTATTGTACCATTCATGCTCAGTGCTCACATCTTGCTCAGCTGGATGGATTACATGTACAGTAGACTTGAGGTCTCTGTGGATGAACAAATGCAAAATTTAAAGAGGCTGTCATCCCCTTATAAAGAGATAATCAATAACCACTAAAGAGAGGTTATGTTTTTGTTTATAACCACTCATTGCCACCCAAATACAGTATAATCAGCTGATTGGTGTCCGGTAAAACTCATTACAGTACAGTAGTACGCAATGAAACCCCATTTGATTAAGCTGGCGGCAAACAGCTGTTTTCTGGATTAAATCCTTGCGTGGGAAGTTCATCAAAATAGTGTAGTGTGGCGTAAAATCTATTATGCGTGTCAATTGGTTCTTGTGGTCAATTATTGTACAGCATGACTTAGTGAGAGTTATCTTTTGTTGACACAGTTCTTTTTTCTTACAATGTTGGCGGAGCTTGTTAATGATTGTGATTGTTTACATTAACACATAGTTTACTGCTCATGTTAAAGTCCTACTATTACCAATTTATATTTAAGTGATATGTTGTTACTTTATCGAATGCAACAAGTGTGCAATATAGAATTTAGCTACTCAATATACAATCAATTTCTTCAGTCACTCTTATTAAAAGTTAAAAATACCGATCAATTTAAGTGTTCATATTTTCTTCATCCGTTTCTTATAGGCTATACTGAACCAAACTTGTAACGAGAAATCGAGTTGAAGTAAAAGGGAGTATTAATACAAAGATCAAAACTGTACGGTAGGTCTAACATCTTCTTCATTGCTCAGCAAATCTGTAATTTTTCAATAGAATAGTACCAAAATTATGTGTATATTATACAAAATGACAAATACACAATTGCTTAATAAGAAAGTTATACACTTTGTGTTTATAATACAGCATACATAAGAAGTGAGGATTGTTAATTGAACCTGAGAAAAGGTGGTAGCTTTTTTGGGATTACCAATTAACTATCCTTGATCAAAATTATCATAGACATTTTCGATCACGGTAAGTAAAATACAAAGAAATCTGAAGTCTTTGTCTTTAAGTTTTACTAATCTTGATGGAAAATGTCTGCAATATTTTTTCCCAAAAATCCCCATCACTAATGAATTTTAAATCAAATTATTCTAGAGCATTTGGATTTTTATAAATGGTTCTAACCAAAGAAACAACATATATTCAGTAATCAATCATCCCTATCTTATTGTTTATTCATATTCCAGTTTAAATAAACAACTTAGTTGACACCCATCTCAAAATGTAGTGACTCAAGAGATATATTGGCTTCCTACTTTTACTGTAACTAACTTGACTAATGAAGATGATTATTTTTGTCAATATATTTATATTTTCTCATTGACAGGTTGTGGATGACATGTCTGTGGTAGTCAACATCAAAGAACCAACTGCAATCATCAACCTAGAAGTACCTGAACTGCAGATTTCCAATGAGGCTATCCCTGAAAAAGGTATGTGATTGTTATGTATTTAAGGTAAATCTTTTGGTGAAGTTTTGTTTCCTTCACATCCTAGGAAGTTAAACTCTAACCCAGAACCATTTTACGTTGCTTTAAAATACATTGGTGATGGGCGGGATTAGAACTTATGATCTTGGGGTCAACTCCTCGTGCTATAGAAAATTGCACTGGATATTATAGGGAGTGTGGTATATACCCAAAATTGGAGGAAATTTTTTAAATGTTTCATTTGGAGAAACATAGTGGTGGAAATAATATGTACTATGGAATCATTGGTAAAAAAATATTTGTTCTCTGTTTACAGAAAATAAGCAAGCTAAAATAGAAGATTTAAGTCCAAATGAAAAGAAAATAACTTGGGCTCCGACAGCAGAGGAACAGAGAAGCCAAAACAGTTCTGGCTTAAGTGGACAATTCATGGTCAAATATGATGTTGACAGAACACAAAACCCTCAACAAATCCTTGTAAGTAGTAATATTAACCTCCAATACTGCACAAAACCCTCAACAAATCCTTGTAAGTCGTAATATTAACTACCAATATTACACAAAACCCTCAAAAAAATCCTTAGTTGTAACATCGACCTCCAATACTGCACAAAACCCTCAAAAAATCCTTATAAGTAGTAATATTAACCTCCAATACTGCACACAACCCTCAACAAACCCTTGTAAGTAGTAATATTAACCTCCAATACTGCACAAAAACCTCAACAAACCCTTGTAAGTAGTAATATTAACCTCCAATACTTCACACAACCCTCAACAAATCCTTGTAACCTCTAATACTACACAAAACCCTCAACAAATCCTTGTTAGTTGTAACATCGACCTCTAATACTGCACACAGACACAACCCTCAACAAACCCTTGTAAGTAGTAATATTAACCTCCAATACTTCAAACAACCCTCAACAAATCCTTGTAACCTCTAATACTACACAAAACCCTCAACAAATCCTTGTTAGTTGTAACATCGACCTCTAATACTGCACACAGACACAACCCTCAACAAACCCTTGTAAGTAGTAATATTAACCTCCAATACTTCACACAACCCTCAACAAATCCTTGTAACCTCTAATACTACACAAAACCCTCAACAAATCCTTGTTAGTTGTAACATCGACCTCTAATACTGCATACAGACAAAACCCTCAACAAACCCTTGTAAGTAGTAATATTAACCTCCAATACTTCACACAACCCTCAACAAATCCTTGTAACCTTTAATACTACACAAAACCCTCAACAAATCCTTGTTAGTTGTAATATCGACCTCTAATACTGCACACAGACACAACCCTCAACAAACCCTTGTAAGTAGTAATATTAACCTCCAATACTTCACACAACCCTCAACAAATCCTTGTAACCTCTAATACTACACAAAACCCTCAACAAATCCTTGTTAGTTGTAACATCGACCTCTAATACTGCATACAGACAAAACCCTCAACAAACCCTTGTAAGTAGTAATATTAACCTCCAATACTTCACACAACCCTCAACAAATCCTTGTAACCTCTAATACTACACAAAACCCTCAACAAATCCTTGTTAGTTGTAATATCGACCTCTAATACTGCACACAGACACAACCCTCAACAAACCCTTGTAAGTAGTAATATTAACCTCTAATACTACACAAAACCCTCAACAAATCCTTGTTAGTTGTAACATCGACCTCTAATACTGCACACAGACACAACCCTCAACAAACCCTTGTAAGTAGTAATATTAACCTCCAATACTTCACACAACCCTCAACAAATCCTTGTAACCTCTAATACTACACAAAACCCTCAACAAATCCTTGTTAGTTGTAACATCGACCTCTAATACTGCACACAGACACAACCCTCAACAAACCCTTGTAAGTAGTAATATTAACCTCCAATACTACACAAAACCCTCAACAAATCCTTGTAACCTCTAATACTACACAAAACCCTCAACAAATCCTTGTTAGTTTTAACATCGACCTCTAATACTGCACACAGACACAACCCTCAACAAACCCTAGTAAGTAGTAATATTAACCTCCAATACTACACAAAACCCTCAACAAATCCTTGTTAGTTGTAACATCGACCTCTAATACTGCACACAGACACAACCCTCAACAAACCCTTGTAAGTAGTAATATTAACCTCCAATACATCACACAACCCTCAACAAATCCTTGTAACCTCTAATACTACACAAAACCCTCAACAAATCCTTGTTAGTTGTAACATCTGTCATTAAATTAATTATTAAATAATTATACTGAGATCATAAAAGGTTGTGTATTTCCATTTTAACAAAAACTCAATCAAAATATCAAACAATAACACAAAACATATGCTGAACAATTACCATATGTTATTAACATATTAACTACTACTGTCATCCCTCCTTCACAAGTCAAAATTATTTGGTTTTCTTCTAATCCTTTCCCCTCGTCTTACAACAGGAGCTGAGTCATTGTTTTGTAATTCTGACCTGGACGATTGACCTTTATTCACATAATGGGAGATTCTGAATGACTTGTCTCTTCTTAGGAACCATGAGTTTCTTCGGTATTCTCGTCCATCACCAGTCTGGATTTTGTACGATCGAGGTTCAGGACCAACTTGAACAATCTTTGCTCTCAGCTTACACTTTGGTTTGAATCTGAAAAGCACTGGTTCATCGAGTTGAAACTGATCAGGCTCTGTCTTCCTCATATCACCGTATAGCTTCTCTCGTCTTTTAATTTTTTCTAGCTGTTTTGAAACATTCTTTATGACCATCGGAATAAGGTGGTTGGTCGTAGATGGAAGTAGAGTCTTTGTCCTCCTACTCATCAGCCGCTGAACTGGGGAACCTAGGTTACCTCTTGGTGTGTTACGGTGATGAAGAAGTGCAAGATAAATATCGGACTGTTCTACTTGACACTTGACAATTAAGTTTTTTCCTTCTTGGACATACCTCTCCGCTAGCCGTTGGATCTTGGAAAATGAGGAGATGAAATTCTATGATTAAATTTCCATTCGGATACGAATTTAGTAAATTCCATAGAAGCAAAACATGGTCCTCCATCAGTTCTTAGTTCATCTGGAATACCATGAGTTGCAAAGTACTTTTTTAGGTGTGTAATAACAGTGATGCTACTTTTGTTCCTAAGATTTTCACACTCAAAATATCCTGAGTAACTATCAGCAACTACTAAGAAGTCTTTACCTCCACATTCAAAAACATCAGCTCCGATGAACTGCCATGGCCTCACTGGTACTGTTTCTTGAAGGATCACATCTTGAGGTTTATCTCGTTGATATTTGCTGCATACATTGCACCTTGCTACATATTGTTCAATATCTTTTTCCATATTAATCCAATATACATAGTCACGTGCTGTATTAATTGAACTTTGAACACATTTGTGAGGACGGTGAATATTCTGTAACACTTCAAGTTTCATTTCATCAGGTATAATCAAACGGCTTCCTTTAAACAAAAGACCATCATAGCAACTTAGTTCTTCTCGGAAAGTGAAATATTTTACTAATTCCTTGTCAACAGTGCTTCTTTCTTCGGGCCATCCATTCAAGATCATTTCCTTCAATTTAGAAAGCTCTGTGCATTTTCCAACACTAGTTCTGAGTCGAGAAACTGTATCAGAAGACATAGGAATTATCAACTGAATATCAAAGCTGTGAGGTTCATCATCTTGATTGTCATTGTAGCAATCTCTACTCAAGGTGTCAGCCAGATGAAGCTCACAACCCCTCTTGTAGACAACTCTTGGTCGATATGGTAATATTTCCAAACACATTCTTTGGATTCTGGGAGGAGCGTCAGACAACGGTTTCTTAAAGATAGCCTCTAAAGGCTTATGATCTGATTCAATAATCAACTCCTTGCATCCCCATACATACTCATGAAACCTTTTGCAAGCAGTCAGTATTGCGAATGTCTCTTTTTCAAGTTGACTGTAGTTCTGTTGCGATTGAGTCAATGCTTTGGAATTATAAGCTACGGGCTGCCCAGATTGTAGCATAACAGCACCTACTGCATAACTGCTTGAATCCACAGATAGAGTCACAGGAGAGTTAGGGTCATAGTAACGAAGCACGGGAGTTCTTTGCAGTTTTTGCTTTAACTTGTTGAATGCTTCTCGTTGTGGTGTATCCCAGAACCAGGCCACATTTTTCTCAGTGAGAACTCTTAGAGGTTGAGTATCAACCGAAACATCTGGTATAAACTTTGACAAGTATGTTATACAACCTAAAAATCTCTGAAGCTCAGACAAACATGTGGGTTCCTTCATTCTTGAAATGGCTGCTACTTTGTCAGGATCAGCTTGTAACCCTTGGTCTGAAACTATGTGACCAAGAAATTTCACCAACGGTTTGGCAAATATACACTTTTCTTTGTTAAGTGTAAGTCCTGATTCACTCAGCTTTGTTATTACTTCATTCGTGATCTTTTGCAAGTCTCTTTCATTGTTACTGTGAATGAGTATATCATCCATTGAACACTCTACATTCTTAATTCCTTTGAGCAAGTCTGACATAATATACTGGAACACTTCAGGGGCCGATACCAAACCAAAGGGTAGGGGTCTGCGGGTCCCCGATTTTTTCGGGTCGGGTCGGGCCAGCGGAAGGCCCGAGATACCGGGTCGGGTCAGAGATTTGTTCGGGTCGGGCCAAAAAAAATAATTATTAGGCTATTTTTAAAGTTATAATAAGTAATTTTCAAAGAAACACTCTTATATACATTATTACAGAGGAATTAAAATGTTAAAATTAGAATTAAATATTAAGTTTGCTCACGTTTAAGAACAAAGACACAACAGAGCAATTATTGCCTTACTGTCACTAGCCAGAGCCAGTCGTCTACTGACAAAACAAAAGCCGTGACGCAACAGTGCAAAGAAAACGAAGTCAAAAGAAAGACTATTTATCCAGAGGTACCAGTTTAATTATTTATTGTGTATTCCATACCTAGTTTAAATTATATTTTAGTATTTTATTTACATAATAAATTATAAACAACAGAAATATCTGATATAGTGTACAGATCTGTATCTTGTTCTTTTATTTTCCTATTGTCCTTTTTGTCATTCAGTAACAAAACAAAACAACACTTCTGATCGTCTGGTTCGGCATTTTATGGTCACCATTTAATTTTTTTTTTAAAGTATCAAGTATCAACAAGTCTACAAAGAGGTTAGGCCTAAATATTTTATAATTTTGTGAAAGATTTCATCAGTAAAATTATTTTTTTCTTAAGTTAGATTGAGTTTCAAAAAAGATATTTTTAAGATCCAATACAATATTTACAAGACACAAACTACCATGAATTAATTTCTTTGGAAATTATCTGTAACCGTTTTATATTTTTGAATAAAGAAAATATATCTTTTTGTTTCTCCTTCCTTGTTTTGTTACTTGTATTTTGTCAGCAATTTGGAACAACCGGGTGGTGTAATAGGGGCGGGGGAGGGGGAGGGTCTATGACCTTGAGTGTCCCCGGGCCTGGCTCGGGTTGTGTAAGATGGGAGGGGAGGGGAGGGGGAGGGTCTGTAACCTTGAGTGTCCCCGGGGCCGGCTGTGAGAGTGATTCATGGTTTTTTGTTTACATTCTACTACCCTTCCTTCCGAGAAAAAGACCCTACAGTTTCAAAAACATTGACTTACAGTATAAAAACATTGAGTTGTGTTGCTAATTAGGGCACTATAATGTCTCTGCTGTCTGCTTACGTTGCCAAATTAGCATTTAACTTTCTTTTCTCTTGATTTAATATAATTTTCTATATATTAAGAGTTCCTTTTCGGGTACCTAATAATTGTGATAATGTTTGACTTGAGTTTATGGATTTTTAATTCTTTTCATTTATTAGCTAAAATCAGTTGTTTTAGGATTTTAATCTCTTGCAATACCTATAACTGTGTATCTATAACTGTGTATGACATGATATGCAATTTGTACAGTCTTTACTATAACTATACCATAAACAATGTATGTGTGTTATTTATTGTTTTAGAGTTTTATAGGAAATTAGTTTACACAATATCTTTTCTTCAATGAGTTCTCCACTTGTCATGTTGCTTAGTCTATTACTATTTTAGGCCCTATAAAAAATAATTCCTATGTAAAGCTGTAGGCATACTAATGCCAATAATAGATAATTCTTTATTTATGATGATGTAACTAATAATGCTATTGTAAGTGTGAGAGGAGGTTAGGAGGCAGGGAATGAATGATTCATATTGCATGGTGGAAACATAGAATTTTTATTTTCTTCTTGCTTGCAGTCTTGAAGCCACAGGCCCTAAACTTGTGATAAGGTTAATTGATTTGTTTATGATCCATTTATATTAAGTTCCATTACAAACTTGTTGTAATATAGCTGTTTAGATATTTCAACAGTTATGAAAATGGGAAAGAATGGCTTGATAAAAAAAAATTATTTTCTTCTTTCTTGCAGTTGAGGCAACTCCTAAGCTGTAAATAAGTTATGAACATGAAATAATATACATAAATACAATCTTTTTCCATATGTTATTTTCAAGTAATATTATAAACACAGATAGGAGTTAAAAAAAAAAAAAAATCCGGTAATTAATAATTTTTGGCCCGACCCGATTTTGGCCCGAAACCCGAGGACCAAAATTATTGGCCCGACCTGACCCGACCCGAACCAAAAAAGTCTGACCCGCAGACCCCTACCAAAGGGCATGCGTAAACAAGAGTAGCGCCCCCAAGGTGTTGAAAAGGTTAGTAGTTTGGATGTTCTCTTTGTAACTTTTATCTGCCAGAACCCTTTTTTACAGTCTAGGATGGTGAATAAAGTAGAACCATTCAATCTAGCTGAGATGTCCTCTAATGTAGCCAATGGGTAATGTCTACGCTTTACATTTTTGTTTTTTGTTGTTTTTTGTTTTTGTTGGGTCAATGCAAAGACGTATTTTGTCTCTTTGTTGCACTATGACCATAGGAGACACACAAGGAGTAGGCTCACTTACTGGAGTAATAATCTTGTCTTTTACCATTTGGTCAAGTTCTGCTTTCACTGCGTCACGTATTGGATGAGGTATTCGCCTGGGTGGGTGTATTTTGTTTGAAACTAGGATTTTCCACAAGATCAATGTCATACTCAAATGACTTTAAGCATCCTATTCCATCATATAAGCCACTTATAGACTGGTCAACTATACCAGCAATCCGTTTGACGAACCCTAGTGTTTCACATGATACTCTTCCTAATATTGATTGATGCCCATTTGGAACTATTACAAACAAGACAGTGTCTTTATGAGACTTTTTGGTTACAACTGGACAAATGGCTTCACCCAAAACTGGCGTTTTTTGGTTGTTAAAAGAAACAAGGCATTTAGTAGCAGAAGGTACAATGTTAAGATTACAAGCTAGAGCCAAATCTTGGGAAATAACATTGCACTGAGCCCCAGTATCTAATTTAAACTGCACAGTTTTGTTATTTGGCAATTTTAAGGGTTCTGTCCAATCTTGATTCTTGACTGGTTTAGAGATGCAATCAACATGCAACGGATAATCAGAATCTTCATTCTCTACAACCTCTAAAACATCAGTATTTTTACTCTTACTAGGGAGATTCTTTCGAGTTTTACACATCTTAGCAAAATGACCTTTAGTCAAGCATTGATTGCAAGTTCGATTAAAAGCGGGACATTGGCCTCTAGAGTGTTGTAAACCACAACGTTTACAGTCAAAGACTGAATTTTGTAACGTAGGCCTAGAAAAGGAATCATCCCTTTTTACGACATTAACATTTTTAGGGCTGTCAGAGGATATTTCTGCTAGTTGTTTCTTAGCTTGTTCATGTGCCCTACACTTACTAATCGCATCATCTAGGGTAAGGTTATCAGTAGAAAGTAACTTTTCCTTTAAGCTAGAATCTGATATGCCTATTACTATTCTATCTCTTATCAAACTGTTTTTTAGCTGCTCAAAATTACAAGAATTAGCTTGGTTAACCAATTTTGTAAAAAAATCTTCAAAACTTTGATGGGTTTCTTGGGTGATTTTGTTGAACAAAAATCGCTCAAATACTTCATTAGATTTACCAACAAAAAACTTATCAAATCGTTGAACAACTTCATCCAATTCAATATCTTCATCATCAATGAAACCAAAACTGTTATATATATCTATAACATCTGGGCCTAAACTAGACATAAATGATGCTACCTGTACTGCATTTGATCTCCTATCAAGGCCAGAAGCTGTGTAGTACCAGTTCCACTGTTGCTTCCATTTCTTCCAAGAAGGAGCCATCTGAGTACTTGAAACCACAAGACATTTTGGTGGTTTTACATTATTATCCTTGTCTTCTGTATGGTTTGAATGGATATCATCATCTTCCTTAAAGGCATACCTTTTATTTCTATTCCGTGTGGGTTTCGGCACCATGTCATTAAATTAATTATTAAATAATTATACTGAGATCATAAAAGGTTGTGTATCTCCATTTTAACAAAAACTCAATCAAAATATCAAACAATAACACAAAACATATGCTGAACAATTACCATATGTTATTAACATATTAACTACTACTGTCAACATCGACCTCTAATACTGCACACAGACACAACCCTCAACAAACCCTTGTAAGTAGTAATATTAACCTCCAATACATCACACAACCCTCAACAAATCCTTGTTAGTTGTAACATCGACCTCTAATACTGCACACAACCCTCAACAAACCCTAGTAAGTACTAATATTAACCTCCAATACTGCACAAAACCCTCAACAAACCCTTGTAAGTAGTAAAATTAAACTTAAATACTGCACAAAACCCTCAACAAATCCTTGTAAGTAGTTTCCTGATATTATTAAACATTTGCCTGTTTTGCTATGAGTTTTGTAGTGCTTGAGTAAATTGTACAATGCACGTTTTACCAATGAATACAATCCTCATTTTACCAATGAATACAATCCTTATAGAACGTGAAATGCCCATGTTAAAATTCACAAATTCAGTCTAGACTATTTGAATTTTGGCAAGTTCCGGCGGTGACCGCTAGGTAGTACGTAGGTGCTACTATCGAGCGAGATTAGTGAGACCAACAATAAAGACAGATTTTGGTTACTTATCTCTTGTAGGTCCGAATATCACATTCAGGGGAAGGATAACACACGGGCTCCGTAGTAGGATGGACATTTTCAGCTAGCGCCTTCCAAGCAGCGTCCGTGCAAAGCTCATTTGGGAGGCAAAATCCAGTCTGACTATTCTACACAGATAAGCATTCAGCTATGTTTTGTATTTGTTGGTTTTACTAATACAAAATCTATGTATCGTAGGACCATGGTAGTTTACAAATTGATCTATTTAAAGGAAAGCTAAAGAATTTGATTCAGGGTTATGATATTTTTTTGATAAGATGACTTTAGGCCAGGATTTATGGTGTATAGGTTCAACAGCAGGTTTTTTCGTGTACGTATTTTCACGACAAATATGAAAATACACAAATAAACTGACACGGTAACCACGTCTAATTTTCAGAGCCATAGTAGTCTTTTCAGCAACCGATTAAGGAGTTTTTGAGAGGTTGAGTTGAGACAATTGAAGAAAGTCACCCTGACCAAACATAAAGAGTGTTCAGTCTATGGTATAATGTTTAAATGTTTGTTTTAATATTTTAAAACATAATTTGTTAGTCTCATATAGTTTTTTTTTTTTTTTTTTTTTTTTTTATAAATTGTAAATTTGTATGTAGTCTTTTTAGAGGATGTTTTAAGGACAATAGGCCTAGATTTGTTTTTATATGTTCATTAGACTGGTTAGTGTAAGTTAAGTGGAAAACATTGGAACCAATATTTAAAGTTTCTTATGTAAGCTAAAATTTTTACTACCGAGAATCAAGTAAAAGTTGCTGAATAACCAATCTTTGTTTTCAGGTGGATGAAGGTTACTTTGTACACTTCTTCGCTCCAGAAAGCCTACCTAAGCTGAGAAAGCACGTCATATTTGTTTTGGACTACAGCGGTTCAATGAGCGGTAGAAAACTGGAACAGCTAAAAGAAGCAATGAAGCAAATATTTACCGAACTTGGTCCCAAAGATTATTTCAGTATTGTTATTTTCCAAAGTTGGGTTGAGGTGAGTACACAAACTGACTTATGAATCTAAATTCATGTGATCTAATTAAAAGTGGTTTAAAATACTCTTTCCCAAGATCAGGACAAAATTAGGTAATATGAGTTAAAAATGTATTTCACCGAATATCGATCTGGAATGGTGATTTTGGTAAGGATAAGTACATTAGGATAAGGTTAGTACATTAGGGTCAGATAAATACATAACTGTATTGTGCTTTGTTTGATTGTTGGTAAATTAAATTTATGTACCCGACTTTTTCAGCATTTAAACACCTACTATACATGTGGGCATAATCAGATGTAGTGTCTTGTAGATTTACCTTTGACTATTGATACAACTAAACTATACATCCCATCCCCATGTTAAGTTTGTTGCCAGATTTTTAATCAAAATCGTCTTAGTTGATGTGAGCCACCGACAGATTATGATGATTTAAATTCCTAACTTTTATGCAGTACACAAACTTGTTTACCAAGTCAAACTGATAGAATTACTTATTGTGAGCTATAGCAACTGTTATGAACTTGATAAGCAACAAAAATAAGGTAGAAATAGACTTTTAGACACCAGCCCCATTCTGTGTCTGGCTCACACAATTAGGCCTAGGTTATTTTTCAATAAAAAGTTGGTGACAGTTGGTCCATATAGATGGGATGTCTACTTCAGTGTCCAATGGTCAATGATTTTACTTAACAGTTGGCCTACAAGATACTGTGAGATACTTAATAAACTAAACATTTTGTGTAACAAAATTTATTTTGTTGAATAATTTTTGAATCGATGAATTTAAAAGGCCAAAATCGGAGTCTTTACATCAGGCTTTATAAGTTGACCTTTCTTAACCCAGGTTCAATTTAATACTATTATGAGCAACCCAACTTCCTCCTGGACCCATCCGATTCACTATTCCTGCACACTATTCATTGGGTGTAAATTCAAGAGAATAGTTGTAGTAGTTTATACCGAGATGAATAAGAAGGGGCAAACCTTTGGCTTGTTTTAGGTGTGGTCCCCTACTGGTATGTACATTACAAGTGTGCCCTCTTACGTACATCCCATGGATGCTGCTAAGATTGAAAGGGAAAACAAGAACAAGACTTTAAGCAGCCAGTTTGTCGTGGAAGCATCGCCTGCCAACATTGAGCTGGCTCGTTCATTCATGGAGAATTACACCGATCTTGGATGTAAGCTCACTAGGAATTGTAAATTTTTATTTATGATTTAACTGTAAGTCCGGCTGTAAAAAAAGTTTAGTGAAAGAAGTCATTGTTATTTTCTATTTTTGAATAGGTAGGACTACATTACACCCTTCATTGATGGTGTAGGCTCTACAACTCATTTGTTTATCATTTAGATTGTAGAGGTACTCGTTCGTTTTCATCCAAGGGTGTAGAATTCACTGTTAGCTATTGCCCATTTGTATTGTAGGCGCTAAAATTTAAAAGTGCACTTTTTACTCAATCGGTACGCTGGTTAAAAAACTAGGATTGGATTGTACTTTCAGTATGGGGCAGAACCAGACAAGATTTTTATTCTTAGGGGAAACTTAAGTTTGTTTCAAAAATCTTGCGTAAATTATTATTCTATGGGAACATCATCAATGTCATCTGTCATACTGGTGAAATCATAAACATCTCCCACGATCATGGGGACATCATCATTGTCACTCATAATCGGGGCAAAATCGCTGATAATTGGAACAATCCTTATCACGAAAATATCCTGAATGAAATCTAATCTTACCCAAAGATTGAGAATATATTTTTCCTCCAAACTTTTTAAAATCTCCGGATCTGTCCATCTGTATTAAACATGTTGATGGTCAATTGTTCTGATTTTTAAACCCAATTTTTTACCCTTCATTTTCTTGGAAATTTTTGTTATATAGGTACACAGTTTTGTTTTCAATACAGATATACAGAATATTCTCATACTTGACATCAGAAAAATAGTCAATGGGGAGGACAAGATTTGTGCTATTGGTCAGTTATAGGTCTAATATCTGACTTTTAATAAATTAAGCACTATCCAACCATTGATAATCAATTGTCCATATCCTTCACAACAAAGCTTAAAACTTCCCATGGATCAATTAATTAGTTTTTGTCTCACAACATAAAAGCTATAAACTATTTAACCCTACACTACAGTTTGCAATTTGAATAACAGATAAGCTACTAAGTTATCTAGAGCATATCTGTTAAAGCAGTGTGGTAAACTTACAGCTACAAACATTATTGGAGGGTTGAGTTTACAGTTTGAATAACAGATAAGTTACTAAGGGTGTAGCATAGAGCACAAGGGCCTAGATTTTTTAGGATTTTTTGAGAGGATAGCAGGCTTACCTGAATGGGAAAGAGTCCAAACTGGCGCAGGAAACACAAAACCAGTTTTGTGTTTTGTGTTTCCTGTGCCAGTTTGGACTCTTTCCCATTCAGGTAAGCCTGCTATCCTCTCAAAAAATCCTAAAAGATAAGTTACTAAGTTATCTAGATCATATCTGTTAACGTGTGGTAAACTTACAGCTACAAACATTATTGGAGGGTTGAGAACTGGTCTGGAGCTGGTGAAGATTGCAGATGACCAATGGGCCAATGAGAGTGATCCACCACAGCCTGTTATGGTGTTCTTGACCGACGGACAACCCAACGTCGAAGAGTACGATACTGACGCCATCATCAACAAGACCAAGGCACTCAACACTAAACAGTAAGTGGAGCTAATCAATTACAAGACCAAAGCATTCAAACACTAACCAGTACTATAATAGGTACATACCTTACCTTAACAGTTCAACAAGTAGTGGTCAAATCACGACATGTTTCGCCTATTTAGTAATTGTCAGTTTGTATATTGTAATAATGCCTGAATAGACAAAACATCTCGCGAGTGTGACCTCTACTTGTGAACTGTTGAATTGTGGTATGTATGTACCTATAATAGTCTAACTAAACAGTTCAAGGACTATAATGAATTTCAACTAAACAGTAAGAGGAACAGATGTGCCTAATTATCAATAAGATACCAAGGTATTCAACCAAGGTACCAGTACATTAACTTCTTTAACACATTCGCTATGGCTGCGGCCCCAGTGACGCATAGTGTGCCGTGTTGCGAGTCGGCTGCATCACCGGGGACACAGCGATCAATGCATTCTTTGCCCAATTAGTGTGGCTCAGGATCTAGCCAAGGACGGTTGGTACGTATTAGTATTGTGTCTCTAATACCAGCCTATAATTATTGTAGTGTAGGTTGGTAGTAAATTTGCCTGTAAAATCCCCGTCTGGCAAGCTTAGAAAACAACTTTTTGTCCCGTTTTTCTCCCTCCAATTATCAATACAATGGGACCGGCTACGTTCCAAGCAGTGCTGCTATCTGTGGGAGTTTAAGCGAACTATGTCGACTCTCATCATAACGCAGCACATCACCTTTTTGCTATTCTTCAGACCGAAATATTTGAAAGCCAATCCTCGGCAATCAGGTTCTTACGAAGCTGCGCAGCACTGGGGCTACGCCTGCCAGTAACAGGCCGCAGCAAATGTGCTAAAGCAACAGTATTTGGGTCAAGATATCTTGATTCACAACACTTTTAGTGACAACACTTTGGCAAACTCATCTTAGTTTATGATATGCACCAATAACGTTGTGTAAATTTTTCCAGGTGCCCAATCTTTAGCCTGGCCTTCGGTTATGGTGCGGAATTCAACTTCCTGCGCAAACTGTCTCTGCAGAATTCAGGTTTTGCGAGAAACATTTACGAAGGAGCAGATGCAACTCTACAGCTCAAGAACTTTTACAAGACAATTGCGTCTCCTATCTTGTCCAATGTCACATTCAACTATCTCCCAGGACAGGTAATACAAATGTGTTGCTTGGACTTTATGAACTTGAATATGGAAATTCAACACCTTTGGTTTGAAAATTATTGTCTACCACGATCACAGGTACTACACCCTTAACAGGGCAAAATATTTTTTGTATAGCACATCAGGAGCTGTGTACCCTGTAACTCAGCTCTGAGGTATTGTGATTACTGCCACACTCAGATCTCAGGTGCTGTGGTCACACCTTAGTATCTTATTTTGGCGCTTCTTTTGAAATCTACCGGTCAATAATCCATGCATACTATATCAGTTTTATTATTGGTTTTTAGGGGTCTGCGGGTCCCCGATTTTTTCGGGTCGGGTCGGGCCAGCGGAAGGCCCGAGAGACCGGGTCGGGTCAGAGATTTGTTCGGGTCGGGCCAAAAAAAATAATTATTAGGCTATTTTTAAAGTTATAATAAGTAATTTTCAAAGAAACACTCTTATATACATTATTACAGAGGAATTAAAATGTTAAAATTAGAATTAAATATTAAGTTTGCTCACGTTTAAGAACAAAGACACAACAGAGCAATTATTGCCTTACTGTCACTAGCCAGAGCCAGTCGTCTACTGACAAAACAAAAGCCGTGACGCAACAGTGCAAAGAAAACGAAGTCAAAAGAAAGACTATTTATCCAGAGGTACCAGTTTAATTATTTATTGTGTATTCCATACCTAGTTTAAATTATATTTTAGTATTTTATTTACATAATAAATTATAAACAACAGAAATATCTGATATAGTGTACAGATCTGTATCTTGTTCTTTTATTTTCCTATTGTCCTTTTTGTCATTCAGTAACAAAACAAAACAACACTTCTGATCGTCTGGTTCGGCATTTTATGGTCACCATTTAATTTTTTTTTTAAAGTATCAAGTATCAACAAGTCTACAAAGAGGTTAGGCCTAAATATTTTATAATTTTGTGAAAGATTTCATCAGTAAAATTATTTTTTTCTTAAGTTAGATTGAGTTTCAAAAAAGATATTTTTAAGATCCAATACAATATTTACAAGACACAAACTACCATGAATTAATTTCTTTGGAAATTATCTGTAACCGTTTTATATTTTTGAATAAAGAAAATATATCTTTTTGTTTCTCCTTCCTTGTTTTGTTACTTGTATTTTGTCAGCAATTTGGAACAACCGGGTGGTGTAATAGGGGCGGGGGAGGGGGAGGGTCTATGACCTTGAGTGTCCCCGGGCCTGGCTCGGGTTGTGTAAGATGGGAGGGGAGGGGAGGGGGAGGGTCTGTAACCTTGAGTGTCCCCGGGGCCGGCTGTGAGAGTGATTCATGGTTTTTTGTTTACATTCTACTACCCTTCCTTCCGAGAAAAAGACCCTACAGTTTCAAAAACATTGACTTACAGTATAAAAACATTGAGTTGTGTTGCTAATTAGGGCACTATAATGTCTCTGCTGTCTGCTTACGTTGCCAAATTAGCATTTAACTTTCTTTTCTCTTGATTTAATATAATTTTCTATATATTAAGAGTTCCTTTTCGGGTACCTAATAATTGTGATAATGTTTGACTTGAGTTTATGGATTTTTAATTCTTTTCATTTATTAGCTAAAATCAGTTGTTTTAGGATTTTAATCTCTTGCAATACCTATAACTGTGTATCTATAACTGTGTATGACATGATATGCAATTTGTACAGTCTTTACTATAACTATACCATAAACAATGTATGTGTGTTATTTATTGTTTTAGAGTTTTATAGGAAATTAGTTTACACAATATCTTTTCTTCAATGAGTTCTCCACTTGTCATGTTGCTTAGTCTATTACTATTTTAGGCCCTATAAAAAATAATTCCTATGTAAAGCTGTAGGCATACTAATGCCAATAATAGATAATTCTTTATTTATGATGATGTAACTAATAATGCTATTGTAAGTGTGAGAGGAGGTTAGGAGGCAGGGAATGAATGATTCATATTGCATGGTGGAAACATAGAATTTTTATTTTCTTCTTGCTTGCAGTCTTGAAGCCACAGGCCCTAAACTTGTGATAAGGTTAATTGATTTGTTTATGATCCATTTATATTAAGTTCCATTACAAACTTGTTGTAATATAGCTGTTTAGATATTTCAACAGTTATGAAAATGGGAAAGAATGGCTTGATAAAAAAAAATTATTTTCTTCTTTCTTGCAGTTGAGGCAACTCCTAAGCTGTAAATAAGTTATGAACATGAAATAATATACATAAATACAATCTTTTTCCATATGTTATTTTCAAGTAATATTATAAACACAGATAGGAGTTAAAAAAAGAAAAAAAATCCGGTAATTAATAATTTTTGGCCCGACCCGATTTTGGCCCGAAACCCGAGGACCAAAATTATTGGCCCGACCCGACCCGACCCGAACCAAAAAAGTCTGACCCGCAGACCCCTATTGGTTTTTGGGTTTTTTGAGTTATTAATTTGTGGTTCACATCCTCATGTGCTCTTAGGGGAATCAACACTGCTCAACATATCACTGTTCTTGTTCTTAGAGACTTAAATTAGTCACTAACGATTGTTTTGCTTCACCAGGTGGATAATTCTTCCAACACCAAGGTGGAGTTCCCTGTGTTCTTCAGTGGGTCTGAACTTGTAGTGGCTGGCAAGATCAACAATGGTGATGAGAGCGCTGACAGAAACATCGGACAACTTAGAGGTGTATCTGCCACGGGTCTTCAGTCGTTTGACATCATAATACCACTAACTATGTTCAAACCGAAAAATAGATCTATAGGTAAGAGTCACGACTGCTTAAAATAGCTTAGAGTATACTAGCGTGACTAGATAACATGTTGGCTCAACAGTCAAAGAATCAGTAAAGACACTGTTAAAAGGTTTGACAAGCAATTTCAGTCTAGAGAAGAATATCTATGTTTTTATTTCCACGACGTTAGATTTAATTGAGGTGATTTTGAGACAAATTTGAACTATATATTTCTGCTTATTGCTTAATTAGTCACAAGACTCAAGATCTTTTTCCTATTTTTTTTTTTCATTTAATAAGATAAGTTTATTCAAATAAAGGAGGGTGAGCAGTATATTTATCTTTAGCTCAATGTAAATAACAAATTACAGTAGAGATTTAGATTAAAGAACTTTAAAGGGGTTAGTATATCAAGTTTTAATGATGATATAGAACAGTTCAATATGTGTTGAAGTACATTTTGTTTCTAAATATTAATCTACATTAGTAATAATGTTTACAAAACTAAATTTAAAACAAATCAAAGTTTTCCTTTTTGCACCAGAAGAAAACTCCTGGCCCAAAAATCAGGAAATAAAAATCCTATCCTGTCCTGAACTATAAGTACAATCAGTCGTGTTTCGTATATGAATACTGACTTCCTCATGAATCGAATGGTTTTTTGATCACCACTGAATCGAATTGCGATTTGATGCATCAAATCAAATAAAAATTTTGATGCATCGCCTACCCCAAATTTTTTTTTAATATTTAACTCAATACACTAGTACCCTCTGGTGAGATGGTCCTGAACATAATATATTTTTTTGGCTTCAAATTTTAACAATATGGGAAGTCTATTCTGTGAATAAAAATACACAGGTAACAAAAACTGCCAAAATGTCTTGCAGTCACGACACATAATCATCTTTTCCTGGATTCGCAGAACAATCATGAACATTTGTCACAATCACAGAAACATCATCATTGTGACTTGCTATACCGGCAATATCTCTCTTGATTGTGTAGACTTTATCATCGTTACTGGCAACATTGCTGATCATTGGAAAAAAATCCCATCATGAGAGTATCCCAAATCAAGTATGATGGGGGTTATATTTTTGCTGAAAAGTACCTGAAATTTTAGGACCCGTCTATCTCTTACTGATTAGTTATGTGAATACAAAGTATGTATCTCAGACAATAAGTTTGATTGTGTAGACTTCATCATCCTTACTGGAAAAATTGCTGATGATTGGAAAAAAATCCCGTCCTGAGAATATCCCAAATCAAGTATGATGGGGGTTATATTTTTGCTGAAAAGTACCAGAAATTTTAGGACCCATCTATCTCTTACTGATTAGTTATGTGAATACAAAGTATGTATCTCAGACAATAAGTTTGATTGTGTAGACTTCATCATCCTTACTGGAAAAATTGCTGATGATTGGAAAAAAATCGCGTCCTGAGAATATCCCAAATCAAGTATGATGGGGGTTATATTTTTGCTGAAAAGTACCTGAAATTTTAGGACCCGTCTATCTCTTACTGATTAGTTATGTGAATACAAAGTATGTATCTCAGACAATAAGTTGTATAGTTGACAATAACCTTGTGTGAGCATTACAAGGCAGATAAGCTCAACACGACAATCCAAGTAAAAGAGAGCTAACTTTGGTTAAGGCTCTATTTGACTTTGTAATACTAGTAGTAGAAATCATTTTGTAAATAGATGATTGTAACTTTTATTAGATAAAGAAAAATTCTATGGTGTGCAACAAAGACAATATTGTTATTTACGCAAAATAGCAAATACGTACTGAAGAAATTTCACTTTTTAGGTCATCTTGAGAAGTCTTGGTCATATTTGACAATCCAACAACTCCTGGACAAAATGGATTCTCTCGATGATGGAGAAGAAAAAAATAAAACCAAGAAACAAGCTTTGGACTTGGCTCTGCAGGTAAAAAAAACTAGTTATTGTTTTTAATACACTTAAAACAACTCCTGACCTCAATATTATTTTTTAATGATTAATTAAGAAAAATAAAAATTAAAAAACTAACTAATTGTTTGTTTTAGTACGCATTTGTTACACCTCTGACCTCACTAGTCGTGGTTAAACCCAACGAAACTGAATCTTCAGTGGATGCAACTAAAATCAACCCAGGTATGTAAACATCACATGGAGAATTAGTTGTAGTTTCAAAATGCACACAAATCGCATACAATTTCTCAAACAGATTAAGTATTGTTCCACTGTTTTATATTGCTGAACAAGTATGTTTTAATTTAAGCCAGTATTAACCTTTTTCAATAGATTTAACCTTAAAACAAAGGACAGTTGTAGCGAGAGTTTGACAAGAATGGTTGTAGGTGTAGGTTTACCTTCCGTGACTTTCCCAAATGACATAAAATTCATAATTCATAAGAATAGCAAATAGCTGAAAGAATGAGGTAGTTCAGGGCTAAGCTGTTCAGGGCGCCCTCATTTATAACTAAAAATTGTAAAATTTGGGCTAGGCCTACAGTAGAACCTCTTCAATCTGAACTAATTGGGACCAAGGGTAGTTCGGACTGTTGAATGGTTTGGATTACGAAACAATTGTTATTTTTACATAACAATAGCTAAAACGTGGCTAAAATGGATTGTTATTGTTACGGGATAAGTTAAAAATGCTTTATAAGTAAAATACAGTGTTTATTTAACACGTTCGCTGCGGCACGTCAAATAGCGGGCGTATCCCCAGTGTGGCGCAGCCCTCAGCGTCGAGCAAACCCGATTGCCGCGTGTGATTGGCTTTCCAATTTTGGTCTGACGAATAGCAAATAACGTGCGGGGATGTCCTGCTTTACAATGAGAGTCGACGTAGTTCGCTAATCACCCACAGATAGCAGCACTGCTTGGAACGTAGCCGGTCCCATTGGAATTGTGTTGCCAAATGGAGGGAAAAAGACGGGACAAAAAGAAGACTTTTGAGATTGCCAGACGGGGATTTTACGGGGAAATTTACTACCAACCTACACCACAACAAAATGCAAGTCACATACTACACGTGATCAAATAGCGTGGTATAGGTCCGCTTTCGGCCGACGCTAGAGCAAAAACGAAGATATACAAAAGGCATTGCCGAGCGTTCCCGATGGGGTACGGACGCACCGTATGGGGGCCAAGCGCCGTACCCGATCGGGAACGGCCGCACTCTACGTGTTAATACAGTAGTAAACATAGTGAATAAACATTACAGTACATTACAGTGGAAACAATTTCGGTATATCAATAAAATAATAAATACAGTGTATACAATAAAAAACTACCGTGGTGTTGTGTATAGAGTACAACAATGAGGTGTACAGATTCGTGGACGTTCGGATTACGGGGGTTCGGGCTAAAGAGGTTCTACTGTATTTGTTATTTCTATTTGATCTTTTGAACTTTGTGTCGTTTAACACATTCACTACAGAGGGTCCACCGGTGGGGTACAGCTTTGACATAGTCAAAGTCAAAACATTCTTTATAGATTGTTTTTTTGTACATAGTGTTAGTACTTGACTTTTATCACGGGTTCTCGATTTTTGTGCCTGAAATTTTAGATTTTAACAATTAAAATCGCTTAGCCAAAAGGGTTAATAGGAAGTTTTAAATGCAAACAAAAGTGTTTGTGACCTTAAAAAAAATTATTAATTTTTTGGTAACTTAGATTACAAATAATAAAATGGCCGCCATTTTAAAATTTTGAAATTGAACCAACTTTGTAATTTTTTTTTCTAGAATAAGTGTCTTCAACTATAAAATACCTACCAAGTTTCATAAAGATTGGTTGGAAAAATTCATAGATAAAAATGTGTTTGTGAAAGACACAAAATGGCAGATATCTGGTTAACAAAGCGTTTTTGGAAAATATTTCATGGTTCTCTTTACTTTGACCCATAGAACCATTTCCCGGAGTTGGGCTGTTTACTTACAGATGGAACACCCTGTATAGCTGGGTAGGGTAGCTGAGTAGCTGCTTGTCCGATTCTGAGAAAAGTCCAAATCTTTTTAATGTTTCAAAACTAGACCCAGCTGTCCTTGATTGTTTTTCCCTCCAGTTTCCTGTCATTGTGCCTTTATGCTCATCTATTAAATTGATTGATCCTGGCTGAAGAGACAGCTGATCTTTGTCAGTTAAAAAGCTGTTGCTCATTAGTCATTAATTTAACACTTTCTTTCTTTCATCTTTGCCTTGAAATACCATTGTGTCGGCATCTCAAAACCCTAATTTATACAGTGGTTAAATTTTAGTGGTGAAGCATTCAATGATATTGGATTTATATGAATATCCTCAAATTGACTATCACTATATAATATGTATGATTATCGTTGGCAATTTTAGGCTTGGAAACCCCTCAGGGACTGAGTGGAGCAATGTTTGCGTCATCAGGGTTTTCTGGTGGTGGAGCGTTGAATTTCGCTGTACCAATGGCAGCTTCAGCCTTCGGAGCAGGAGGATACGGAGGAGGATTTCCATCAGCGGCGAGGCCCGCAGTGCTGAGTACAATAATGCCTCATGGGGGAATGATGGGTTTAAGTAAGTACTAATAGCTTTTGCATGCTAATGTATACTTCTCTTCAATATAAACCAACTGTAACTATTTTTATTGAAAAAGAACCATGTGGCCACTCTACAGTGTGTTACAGCCTAAAACTCAATTTTCTCTCTTGTTGACATTTTGTTGCCGTCATAGTTTATGTGACATGAAATATGCTATAGCTTCAAATAAAGTTGGCCTGGCATTTGAGCTTGGTCAAAAGTTGGCATGTTCGACAGATATCTGTAATTTACATCAGAGTTGGTGGCTCAATAATTTAACAACATTTTTTATCGTAGGCCACTATCTGGTAAAATAACGTAAAGTAAATGGGTTTCTCTAAAGGTAACCAATCTAAAGTATCTTTATGTTTGAAGTTTAAATGAAAATTGTTGATATTTTAGGACGTCCATCTCCACCAGCTTATAATGGATTTACAGTAAATGGGCTCGCAGGTGAGATGAGTAGTCAAATTAAATTAAGAAAAAAATTGTCAGAAGTTATAATTATCAGCCACTGGAATTTAAGTGAATGTTTTAATGGTATCTTCTTATAGTTACACAAATCAACAGGGAAAATATAATTTTAGACTGTAACACACTCTGTGGGCAGTTCATTCAACTATGTAACCTTTTGGAAGAAAGATAGCTGCAGCTGGTCCATAGATAAGACATCTCAAGAATCTAAAAGTCAGTGATTCAACCTTAAGAGAAATATCAGCTGTTCAATGTGTATCCTACTTCCTACTAATATTATAAATGAGAAAGTTTAGATGTATGAATGTATGGATGTGTGGATGTATGTTTGTGACAAGTGAACGCGAAAAATACTGGTTGGATTGGGCTGAAATTTGGCATGATGATAGCTAACATTCCCGATTAACATATAGGCATATTCTTATTTCAAAAATCCTTTCGGGCTCCGCCCCAGTGGCTCTGGAGTTTCCCATGTTAACCTTATGAGAAATGGAATTATTGAATCTTAACAGCTGTTTCAATTAAACAAGTTGGTTCTGTTCTATTATGTTCAATAGCATTAAAGTTACAAGGATTACCAACAGGGTGCAGCACTATTATTTCTTTTACATTTATGACAACAGCTAATTTGCAACCAAAAGGTGAGTGAGCGTAGCGAACGAACTTCAACCTGGAGGCGAGTTAGAGTAGCGAACGAGCTAACCTGAAGGCAAGTGAGCGCAGCGAACGAGCTCCAACCTAAAGGTGAGTGAGCGTAGCGAACAAACTTCAACCAGGACGTGATTGAGCCATGCGAACGAGATTATCTTGAAAATTTAGAAGTTAAACGGGGCAAAGCCCGCGGGTTACAGCTAGTAGATTATATTCTTTACTTACGACTGTTCTTAAACTAGCCGTTTCAGTTCAGTTCTTAGAATTGAAATGATTTACTTAACAGCTTTGTTTACTTACTTAACAACACGAGTAACGGACTACTGAGGTTGAATGATTGAGAGAAAAGAAGTAAAATTGTAATACGCCGAACGTCAACTTATCAGCTGTTAAGACTAATTTAATTGATTAAAAAATGAGTGAGTGGTTGGGACAATGACGTTTTATCACAATCAGTGGCTATGATGAGAGGTTATAAACGAAAACATAAGCTCTCTTGGATGTTATGAGTAATGATTTTTAGTAAGAAACACTCAGTAAGTAAGTAGTGTACTACGCAACTCACGTAATTCGCCTTAACGACACTCATAGAAGTTTTAAGGGCACTCGCCAAGGCTCAAACCTTAAATTTCCTACTTGTGTCATTAAGAATATCCTTACGGGATCGTTGCGTACACTACTATAGACTACGATGACAGTTCTCACTCATCGTGAGACACATTAATGTCAGGTCAAGGCTGAAAACCACTACTTGGTATAAGCTTCTTGTTGATAGGTGTCTTGATCTCTACAGTAAACTCTCAGTAATCCGGCAGATATAGGACTGTGATACTGCCAGATAACTGGAATGTTATCAATAAAAACACTGCAACAAGTGCATTTTAGCACTTAAAACATGGCTACGAGGATCGCGGGAACGGAAACCGCTATTGCTGCGATCGGGCATGAGGACGATGAAGTTTCCGTGACCGCGGGAGGCGATGATAATGTCTACACAGCCGTGGGTGATGATCAGAAATTTTGCCACTATCGCGGAAGACAACAATAGGGGACCGTGGGAGATGTACATGATTTTGATGCGATCGCGCATGACGACGATGACGTTTCCGTGACCGCTGCAGATGTTCATGATTTTGCACCAATTGCGCAAGACGACGATGAGGTGTCCGTGACCGCAGGTGTGGATGATGATGCGTACTCGGCCGTGTGAAATAATCAGAATTTTTCCGCAATCGCGGAAGACCTCGCCCGTCAAAAGACTTTGGGTAAGCTTTACTTATCCCTAAGGAAAACACACGACACAACAATATTTCATTCCAAATGTGGTTCACTCTGTAGCCTTATGAAAAGTTGCCATGTATTGCAGTTGAATATTATGATACATGTTATTTTTTAGGGTAGGCCTACTTAGGTTTCCAATTGCTACTTTCCAATTAGAGATTTTCTTAATCTATCTTTATTCTAGGTGGGATGGCACCTGCTATGGAAGAACTGGATTCGTTATGTAAGTAATTATTCTAAACACAAATACCTACTGTACTGTAATTAGGGGTGTGCGAATAGTGATTTTCAACCTCGAGCCGAGCCGAGCCGAGCTTTTTAAAATATTTTCGAGCTCGAGCTTTTTCGAGCCGAGCTTTTCCTAGCGTCACCTTATAATAATAATAATAATAATAATAATAAATCTTTATTGTCGTTTGGTAATATAAACATTACAATAGACAAGGTCAACATGTTTTGTTACATATGTTAAATAAAATATTAAATATTCTACAGAAAATGTTAAAATAAAGTTAAAAGAATCTTAAAAGGATAAAGCATCAGTAATAATAAAAACTTTAAAATTAACAGGGAAAAGACCATAACAAGAACAAAGAATCATCAAGACTGCTTGGCCTCACATTTAAGCGTTAAAAAATCTTCATTCTGCAAAAACTCATCAACTGAATAAAAAGCACGACTTGTAAGCCAATCTGATAATTTTGACCTATACAAATTAATACTTTCCTGATTTCTAAAATGTATTGGAAGTTTATTAAATAGTTTTATTTGCAAATATTTATAACTTTTGATAAATTTTGATAGCCTGGCTTGAGGAATATATAAATCTTTTGATTGTCTGGTGATATACCCATGGATTGAGTTGCAAGGAACAAATTTATTCAGATTATCTTTAACGGAAACTAAATTGTAAAAAATTAAAATATTAGAGAGTGTCATGATTTTATTTTCAGCAAAAAATGTTTTGCAACTAACCCTATCTGGAATTTCAAACATAATTCTGAATTCTGAACATTATCAAAAAAATAAATTATTAAACATTTTTCTTCAAAAAGTGCATAGTAATAATAATGTTCAGTCAATTTTTAAATAAACACAATATTATTTTAATATGTCTAAAAACATTGAGAATTGTCAAGACATCAAATAGTAGATAATCACGATAAGAACTGAACTGAACTAAATTAAGATGCAAGAAATAAAAGGATATGATTGAAGGCCTGATGAGATATGCAGTGTAGACTGAGCCAATCAGATTGTCTTTCATAACAGAACAGCGCTAACTTGAATGACAACAAAACAACTAGCAAGTCGATTAAATATGTATGTTGTAACTACTATGAATACTTTATTCCATTTTGTATAAATAAATAAATATAAAAACACGTGATTATTCTTGTTGTTTTCCATGCACAAAATATTTTTGTTTTATGAATCGTATTAATCAAAAAAAGAACATGATTGGTTTGGATCCAAAAAGGTGAAGAGACAAAGTAAAAAGTAAAATTATATATTAAAAAATATATAATTGACATATAGAGGAAATAGACCAAAACACTAAAATTAATAGAATAACACACAAAGTAAACAAGAAATGAAATAATGAACACATGATTTAACACTGTCACTAAATTCTGTTATCTAGAAGGGTCGGTGAACTAATCAATAAATAGCCAAAACCAGTTTCCTCCCCCATTTCTCTCTCAGTCTCACCACCACCCCTCCCCCCCTGAGCCGGGAGGCCCAGCACTTTGTCCTTGAAACACCCTAGCCTCTGAAACAATAAACCCTTACACCCGCGTTGCTGTTTTGACAACAGGGTTATGAATGCATTCACTATTTTTCATTTTCCAGGATTAACTATCAATTATTATTATTTGCAAGTTATAAATAGGAAACTACATCACATTATGGTATTCAATGACCCATGTATTATCAAAAATTAATAATCCATTACTTATTTTGATAATAAAAAGCATTCATTACAGCACGCACCACTTATTAAAATTTAAATAATCATCAAAGTAACTGTTACTTTATACAAAATAAAATAGGTACAAAATTGTGTGGCCAGTCAAACTTTATAAACAAACATTTTATTCTATAAAATACAGATGGTAAATAGGGGTTGGTTTAAAGGAAATAAAATACAAAACAGATAATTAATTATTTTGATAAACATTAGAAAGGTTATGGGATTGATTGAACTAAAATAACCGCAGGGAAACTTATAAGTAGAAAAGTCGTCAACCACAATCTGTTCAATCAGTACATTGTTAGAGAGAGAAAGAGAGATAGCAGATAGGGGCGTTTGATAAGGAATCTGAAAAAGTAAACAAACAAGGAACAACGACACGACACTTCGATTGATACTTGTTTACAGCCTTATTGTGTCGCCCACTACATTTGCACACGTGACCACTTTTTGTTTCTTCCTTATCTTTCATCCGTCCCAAAATAGAATTCCTGAAATTGTTTGTTGGTATAATCTCCCCTCCCACACAAGGCGCAGTGCTCAGTGCGCACTGTAGGTTGTCACGGCAACCGTGTGTCGTCATAGCGACGAGCCAATCACGCACTCGCACTGCGTTGTATATTACGATACGAATAGCTGTGTTAGAAAGACATCGCGATAGGTGGTAGTTTGTCTCTTTACTATCTCCCCAAAATTACGATCGATAATCATTGCGTCTTGACTGAGCCGAGGTTCGTGCTTATCAAACCTTGAATGCTTGAACAACGTAGAATTGTGATAACATTGTTTCCAATTACGACCCAAATTAAGTGTTTTTTTTTAGTTTTGACTTAGTATTAAAAGCTCGGCTCGAACTTCGAGCTTTTTCAAAATGCCTCGAGCCGAGCCGAATAATGAAAAGCTCGACCAAAAAGCTCGAAGGTTCGAGTACTCGCACACCCCTAACTGTAATAAATACTATAAACTATAATTTTTCCATCTTGCTAAGGAGTAAAGTCTGGAAGAGCTTTAAAAACAATGAACAAATGGTGAACAGGACTTAAAAACTGAAATTCCATACAAAAGACTAAACTATGAGTTTTTTTTAAATATTATAAGCCCTTAACTTATGGACGCAGAGTCATGTGAGTAGCACGTCTCTGCATTCGTGGCATGATAGCTGTATTTCTAACCCACTGGCACTACGTAGTGTGTCAAATCTAACCAGCAAGCGCTAGTAGCGTCAAGTGATTACAATGGTACTTGTCCTGACTGTTCAAAACCAACGGTGACATGGTTGTCCAGTTAGCTCAAGCATTACACTGACGAGACTCTTCTTAGTGTTGAGGTCTTTCTACATGCGCAGGTTTGAATCCCGTACATATGTAATCGATATTATTAAGCTCACTTAAGTGTGGCTTAGCTGGTTTGGAGGGCCCACCTGAAAAAAAGGTGCCCTACTTGGATGGAAGTTGATGGCATTAGTGGTTTTAATAATATGGATTGCACACAACATGGGTTTTGCTTCTTACATATTATAAAGGATGAGTCCACAGTTTATTCTTTTTCTTTGGCTATTATTTTGTTTGAGTATGGACATTTTTTGTTGAAATTCATATATAATAAAATATATAAAACAACATAAGAAAAGACAAAAAAAAAATCTAAATACAGTAGAAGTCTGATTATCCGAGCCGCCGGGTTAACCGAGGCAAATACAGTACTGTATATAGCCTCAGAAATAAATCGTAAATAAATAAATAATCGTAAATCGATTGAAAAATATAGTGGCATTACCATGTCGTCTTCGCTAATAGACTGGCTCGGATATTTTGTTTTACGGTAGACTGTGTTCATGCCATTGTCTCAGTGTACACCAAACTGATTAACCGTGCACAAGCGTATGACGCAGAAATCAATAAAAGACTTTTTTGGCAAGTGATTGCCTGTAAGTTGAAGAGAAATATCTATTTATTTAATCATAAACAAGCTGTTTGGTCCGTCCCACGTACGGAAATCGAGTAGTCCATTAAAACTGTATATAGTGTGTCTTATTACTAATTCAAGCATAGTTTAAGCAGTTCAAAATTTATAGTACAGAAAAAGCTGCCAAGATTAAAACATGTGATAATTGTTATTTTCCCAACCTTTTCTCAAAAAGTTGAGCAGTAAAATAAGTTTCATAAGCTTTCTTTTGAAGATTCGTGAGTTACGATTCATATACAACAATGGTTATAGAATCTTACTTATTTCATATAACCAATGACAAAATCACAGAGTAAATTAACTAACCTCATAGTTCTATAGAATATATTTTTTATTCAACCATCTGTTAGTTATAACAAATTATATTGCACTAAAACAAACTAAACATTTTAAAGACTGGTAAAAAAAATTAGAACATCTAGTACTTTACTATTTATATTTAAATAAATAAACTCATTCTCTTACCGAATAAATTAACGTATCAATAACTATAGCATTACACATAGTATAAATAAGTCAATTCTACAAATGTCATTTCATTATCATCCAAATGCTGAATTTGTGTCGAAAACGCTGAATGTTTACAGCTGTTATGTTAAGCGAATTATATTATACCATAAGCTAGAGTAGAATGTTAGCGTCGGCTGCTAGACTTTTTAAAATTTAAAACTTAATTTCTAAAAAAACTGAAACCCTAAACTAAAATTATGGCTTCGACATTCCCTAGTTCTCAAAATTATCTTTCTTTCAACACAAAAATCATGAAAATCCGTCTGGTTGATTCAGAATCGTGAAATAAAAAAAACCCTGTCACGTTATAAAATTATAGATCACTACTACTGTAATAATAAACTGTATTCTCCAGTTTTTTTATCTAATTATAACTTATAATTTTTACCGCCGAGTGTTATCCGAGTTTTTGCTTATCCGAGTTTTTGATTATCCAATGTAGTCTCAGTCCCGTTTAGCTCGCATAATCACTAATCAGACTTCTACTGTAATGCTCTTATGAAGTTGTTTTGGAGCAGACAATAGAAATAGCTATTTGCGTAGTAAGAGCACAAAGTACGTCATAGTACGTCAGCTGGTTCATATAGTTTCAGAGTTTACTTCAGGAGTCAATGGTATTACACATGATTATTCTAAGGTTAAAATATTGTTTATTTTTCCAGTGGGTCCAGTACCTGTTACTCCTACGAAAGTCAAACTTGAAGACATTAGATGGCTCCAGCAAGCACTGAATGCCACTGAAAAGACAATCACTTTGGAAGGCAACCAGTACAAACTCGGCTTAAACGAGGTAATGCATCGACTGTTGTTAAACTCATCTAATGCAACGAAATACTGATACTAATCCAGCCACGTATTTCATAAGGACTGTACGAGTCACAAAATCATGTGAAGGTTCCTTTATTTTTTAATTTTGTCTCGTACTTCCTACTACTATTTTGAGTATCAAGTAAAATCGAGGTCATCAGTTCCGAATACCAATGAACAGAATAAAGGCAGGGCCTATAGAAATAAGTAAATTGTACCTTAAATTAAAGCATAGACTAAACCAACACAAGTAGACTTCTCATGCCATTGTAAATTTTGAAGCCTGTTTTTCGTGTCTAGTTCATGTACGGAGACAGGGTGCTAGTGTCAACAAAATTTTGATTCTATTATTTAAAAGGGTAATTTTCTAATTTGTGCTTTACTGTTTGGTTATATAACTAGGAGACGAGTTATTGTTTATGATTAGATCGTTTTATTTGGTTAAACAAGGTAAATGACTGAAATAACACGAAACAAATTGTAAACAAAACACGACCTCTGCAGTACATCGTACAGAACTAACAATTAAATTGTCTTCAGCTGTTTCATAAAGATGAAAAATCTACTAAGGAAGTATGTTTTATCTAAGCTTAAAGCCTTCACAAAAGCTGACACAAGCCATAATACACATGATTTGCCAAGTAATGTTGACAGCTCAACGTACTACAGAGTGCATACTGAATTAAGAACGGTAATTTGTGATAAATAATGCCATTTGTTCCCTTGAATAAAGCTGCTCAGATGACCGGCTCCTGCAGGTTAATCTTGAATTTCATGTAATATAACACTAAGTTGTTGGATTGCATACCACCAATTAAGCAGAACTGAGTTTACTTCCTTGGCTTGGCATTGTGAGCAATTCTTTCTTCAAAGTCTTAATTTTTATTTAATTGTTTAAAACTGATGTCTAAAAAAAATTTAATAGCCTCCAACTGTTGCTATATAATTGATTCCAAATGTTGATCACTGATAAAATTCAGTACATTTGAACAAAACGGAAGAATCCAAATACAACATGACTTACAATACACTAGAAGACCTATGATAAAAGGAACGTTTTCTCTAAGCGATTTTAATTTGCAGACAAATGTTCACCATGGAACTTGCCAGGCTGATAAAGATGTTGGGGAGTGCCTGCATATTCAGTATTGCGCTCTGGACGTATTCCAAGATGACATCTCCCAGTTTCTACCTTACCAGTGTAAAATTTCTGGAAAGTAAGTAAATGGAAATTATAAGAAAATCCAAGAGATTAATTTTCTCAACATTTCAACTGATTAAATCTTATGGTGATTCAATAAAATCAGGATTGAGTGCTTTCATGGTTAAGATTCAGAGGATTCAATGGTACACTTAAGTGGTGTCTTGAGCAAATTTTATTCGTCATTCCATTCCGCTCTCCTTTCCCTCCTCACCATGATTTGCTACAGCGCTCACTCTGTAGGAAGACCCTTTGCCCAACTAGTGAACAAATATGCTATGTGGCCATCGCCGTTCGGGCTCTTCCTTGCTCAATACAAGTACATTTTCTCCCCACCATACCATAGCTGAAAATGCACAGTTGTTCCATAATCTTGTATCCTCTGTATTTTACATCTCTGTGGTGCTTTAAAGAACCAATTTCTTGATTGATTTTTGCTTAATACTCACAACCTCTAGTGCAAATGTCAAGCTTAGAGCGCGAGATCAGTTGCAATTTGAAACGTTATGGTTTGTTGTTTTTCAACATAAAATATTGCATTACAACCCCCCCCCCCCCCCTTTATGACTAAAACTATTATTCTAAGCTTTTTTATTGAATCTCTTTTTGTATCAGGATCACTCTTTAAAACGGGTCTACAGTAATAGTTTTTCCCTTTAAGGGAACTTGTTACAAAATAATTTAAAGTTGTTAGGTTTGAGTAATATTTAGAAATTCCTACTATGAGATGATTCAAGCCAACTGTAAGTAATAAGAAGGCTCTATTTACATTTTCTAATGTTCTTAGAATCTAAAATTCATTACGTTAAAGAATGGTTTATTTGAAAACAGTGTTGCTTTATTTATAATTTTGACAGTTACACTTACTTTTATCAACTTACACGTTTTACTGTTCGCTGTTATTTAAATTGTTTAATACCTAGTTCATTTAAATATATGATTTATGCATTGTAATGTAATCTTTTGGTTTCAATTTCAGTTTCCTGGGAGTATGTTGCCCAACCTCTCTTGTTTGAGACATGAAAACAACAGGACGAAGAACAACTTATTGTTAAGATTTTGTAATATGGATATTAAACACTACAGACTTTTTAAGAACTTGTTTCTACTTTCTTTCCAACTCATGACTGTTATTCAGATATGGAAACATTTTAGGTTAGACACATGACTGTTTAAGAACAGTCAGACCAACAAAAACAAGTGGTTAGAGTGTTGGTTTCCTGATCTGGAGCCTTTGCTTAAATAACCGAATAACCAAAACATTTATGATGATAAGCAATGCACAGAAAAAACTTTTACCTAACCCGCCATGTTAAACTTCCCTATCCTAAGCGTGATGTATACAACTTCCTTACTACTCGAGTGGTGTAAAGTATCAAAAAACTCACTCGGTGATGTAATGAAACCTATTTAAATAGCATTGAGTGGATAACTTAAAAAATATAACTCTATGGAGCCAACGACGTTTAACGCTAGAAATCAGCTGTGTGCTTGAATTTTATTGTTATGTTTTGGAGAATTTTCCTAACCTAGCTTTTGTTTGTAAATGAACCTTACTGTTATAAGATGAGTGAAATGGGTAATGAAAAATATTGTTCGTAACCTCCTGTATATTGTCAGGTCAGGTAAAATCTTGTACGTTACACGTTGCGCAAGAGCGTGTTTACATCACTTAGGTAAATTATGCAACTCGCTTCGCTCGTTGCACAACTTTCACCTGCGTGATGTAAAAACGCTCTTACTACACTTGTAATGTAAATAGCTATAATTTGATTTATATATATATCCTAACTCATTTGGATATAAAGTAACCTACGTTCGAAAACCATTTGTTTTGCGGTATTGGACAATTTTCCTATTACAATTCTTTCTCCGCATCAAAACAGAAAACACTAGAAAATTACACATTCCAGGCACTCGTAACCTTCATTCTGCATTGTACAAGTATGGTGGCAAACCCGATGAGCATAACAGTAGCTTCCTAAAATAGCATATGCTATCGTCTGGCCGCAGGTTTGTTAGTCTTGACCAAGTCATTGACCTGTTATCACCCCCCTGGGTCTGGCACACCCCCATTCATGTTCATTGGGGGATCCAGTGTACCCCCAAGCGTGTAGTAGTGTCTCAGATTTATTATCATAATTACCTAATTAGTATTAATAACTTTATACATTTATCATTATAATTTCAATAGGAGTGAAAGTTTGCCAAAAAACTTACTATCTGTAAACCAATAGGATGGAAATGGAAATGTATAATCATAGAGTCCACTGATCTAGCCTCGCAGTGCACAGGCACGTCTGCCTTGATAACTGTCTGCCTTAAACAAAAAGACGCCAAGATCAAATTTAAGTGTAAAACCTTAAAAAACCAATATTTCGGAGAAAAATTAAAAATGTTTGTGGAGTGTGTTTAAAAGTACTTCTAAACCTGGACTGGAAGAGGATGATTGAAAAAACATACATTATCAAAGAATTTTTATGAATTTTTCAATTTTCTTTTACAATATTTTCTACAACCTAGGAAATGTATTAATTCATGAAATATTTACTGTTTCCATGGTTGAATACAATCTAGAGGTCGTCCAATGGTCGAAAACTCTGCCAAAAATAATGCAATGTACACAATTCTCTATTACCACCCACACTGTAAATAAAACATGTGATTGTAATTTCTTACGTTTGTTTTGATTTTCTGTTTATATTTCGCTGTTATTTCGGTAACAAGCATGGCAACCCCTAAGGCTCATGTTAGTTTTTTTTTAATTTGAAATCCATTTTTTGTGCTTATTTTTGTGTCTATTTTAATTTAAAAAGGGATTCTGCACATCTACAGGAAATTTTCTTTCTAACGGTATGCGTAGATTTGCACTGCAATGCACACGAGCTGAGATAGAAGGTTTTAAAGAAACATGCTTGCCTATTAATATATAGATATTATTCTTTTGTAAAAATAAAAATAACATTTGTTTGCAAAAAAAAAAAAAATTTTAAGAAAAGATTAAGGGTTCAAACTATTAGTTTCAAAACAATTAATGGATATGGTACTATTATGAAATTTACATAACAACATGAGAAAATGTATATATAGGATATTATGTCTTAAGTTTAAAGAGCTAAATATCAAAGAATCCTTTTTTATAGCCATTTTTATTTGGGAGTGCGCTCCAGTGTAAAAAAAAAACAAGCGTACACGCTTCAGGGTTAACAGCTTCAAAAGTTGGTTCTTATGAAATATCTCGAAAACTTAGAACGGTCAAGAGCTGCAAAACTATTTCGGTCCATGGTACAAACGCTATTTTCACCACACTATACCCTATTACCTCTATTCACCACAATAATGACAGACACTAACAGTCGTCACAACTACAACTTAAGGTTATGTGAATAGATTATTTGACGAATCAGCAAAAATAATAAATGTTGCTAGGCAGCAGTGAGAATAAAACAAGTCTATTGCAATGCTATGGATACTGATTGTGTAATTTAATCTATATCATTGGAAGCATTTTTTAGATTTTTAGGTGCAGCATAGTTAGAAGAACACCTTTATCGTTAGCTTAGGATGATGATGATATGCACAGAAAACCGAAGGTCTTTGTTATTAAAATACAATGCTGCAACCCCAAACTCAAACAGACAACCAAGTCAAAAGTGACAGTCGTTTAAAGATTTCTTGAATTTAAAATTTTTAATCTTTCAACGGCTCCCATTAATTTTTACTCAGGTGTTTGTTTGAGTTCAGGTTTGTGGTATTGTATTTCGAACTTCGCCATGACATGTATATCAAGCTATATGCTTACATTTATGATTTTTTTTCTTACTTCGACCGGGTGCCCCAAAATTTTAAAATTCAAAAAATCTTTCAACGGCTGCCAATTTTACTTTGTCGTTTGTTTGAGTTTGGCATTGCGGCATCTATCTATTTATCCATCTATATTATTAATATGCTACATATGAGACTTTGTGAACAATAAGGCTTTGTTGTTATAAGATTTAACCCCACATATTATATACCAATATGTTTGTCTAGATTTGCAAACTGACCTTACATTTTTGGGCTCTGCCCAAGGCCCCCATTAGAAAAAACAGGCCATGCTGCAGGATCCATGACATCACACTATAGTGGATAGATTTCATTGATAAATTCATTGCTATCACCATTCCCATATGTTTTAGGTAAATAAACTGTAAAATTTTAATGTTAAGACTAAGAGTTTAGTACAGGTACAACTATCCACCACTGTGACGTAGTGTTGTGCTGCTTGTGCTGCAGCATGGCCTGTTTTTTTCTAGTGGGGCCTTGCTCTGCCCCACTGGTTTGTAAAGTTCCCATGTTATCTTTATAAAGAACATATTTGTTTACATTATGCTCAGCTGGATAATTTAATTGCTGTTAATATTTTAGTTGCAATTTAAGGAAACGTGTGCTACAGATATTTACTGACTTGGTTGAAATGAAATAGGCCTATTTACTATTTATTTGAATTTGGGTTGGCTTAAATATTACAATGAAAAAGCAAGAAATCCAGAAAAATTTTATAAAAAAAGAAAACTGAATTAACACTGTTTTCTATTTCTTGAGCAATCATTGAAAGAGCCGATTTGAAAACTATGGAAATTTAGGAAAGTCATAATAGAACACCACCAAGTAGAAGAAATAGAAATAGGCTAATGTTTTTTTTTTTTTTTATTTATAATCGTTCATATGGACAACCAAATGAGGCTTTGAGTGGGAAATATTTGTAGAAAACACTAAAAAACAAGACCAGCCTTTGAAAAATTATAAGATATTTACAAGAAATTTTGATTATATATATCTGTTATGTACATTGTGAGTATTTCCATAATCTGTTAGTTGACTATTTTAAAGTCATAGAAAATTATTACTGTTATTTGTTTTAAAATAAGGCCTGTTCCTGTAATACTCCGTAATTAACAGCAACAGGTACAATAGTTGAATTTAAAACGAAGACCTTTAACTTTAAGTGCGCCTCAACATATGCTTACCTTTAATCCTAGAGGGTTGTCTACCTGAGGAGTTATCGTATCACTGCGTAATGTTTTAAAATGACTTATGTCCAGTGACTTTTTGATTTAAGTTTTGTATCCATATCTTCATTAGCAAAAAAAAAAGAAAAAAAAGGCATTTTAGCGGTTTTAGAGCTGAGACTGGAGTGGTGTGACAACTGACAAGTGACAGGCTTGCAAGTCATACAGCAACACGCCCAGCGTTGCCAACTTACAATTATTAAATTTTATGTTTTAAGGGTCAAAAATGAGAAATCCAATTTTTACCCTATAAATCCCTCCATTAAAACCCGTTCCCATGGTCCGGGTCTAGATGAAAAGTAAAGCGGTCCATGTCTTACCACGAAACCTACGGTAATACCTTATTCCCTATATGAGGAATTTGCTAAAGAAGTAAAAATGTTTCCCACTTTCCTATTTTGCGCCTTTGCCCAACCTGCGCCCTTGGCAGGGGGCCTGCTGGCAATTTTCATTCTAATTGAGGGACTTCATTTAATCAAAGTTAGACATACTTGTGTCCGTTCTTGAGCTGGTGACGCAGTGTAGGTTTATATTAAAAATAAGTCGAGTTTTAAGCCATTTAATTATTTATATAGCAACACATTGAAATACGAAAAAAGAAACCCTTTGTAAATAAACATGAAAATGTCATAAATAGACTAACTTAATCGTATTGTGATTTTATGGAATATAAAAGGGTATGGTACTTATGTTTCTTCATGTATCATTATTAAATATGTTGCTATATTCATATTAAGTGACAAAGACGAATAGACTATCTCCCCATTACCTACTAGAAACAGTAAATACCTCCGCCGCAGCAAACCTACAGACTAAGCGAAATTCCATTTGCCTGATTGGATTTACACTAAAATGTCTACTTAAAAATATAACATTTATTTCCTATTTAACTAGAATTAGTTTAACAAGTACTTAGGTTTGCTGCATCAGGGAGGGTAAAACTATTTTTTTTTGTAAAAAATGTTAATAGCACAAAATAGAAACATTTTCCAAATTTAATCAAAATATGTTCATAAACAAGCAAACTACAACCGTTTCCTTGTTCTC